ATGGTCCAGGAAAACAAAAACTGGATGTCAAGGGACGGTTCAAAGGTAAAATCACTGTTAATAAAAAGACAACTACTCAGGATGTGTATGTTGTAAAAGGACTGTACAAACCGTTGCTAGGCCTCCCTGCTATAACAGCATTGGAGCTGATTGAACGAGTAAATGCAGTGCTTGTGGAACCAGTGGATTTTAAAACTTTGTACCCGACAGTGTTTTCGGGACTGGGAAAACTCAAAGAGCCCTACAAGATTGAGCTCGACCCAGGAGCAGTCCCATACGCCCTCTCAACCCCACGCAGAGTGCCCCTTCCCCTGCGATATAAAGTGAAGAGTGAGTTGGAACGTATGGAGGACATGGGAGTGATATCCAGAGTTACACAGCCCACACCTTGGTGCGCAGGCTTGGTAGTAGCACCAAAAGCACGACCAGGTAAGATAAGACTGTGTGTGGACATGACTCATTTAAATAAGTGGGTGCGGCGGGAGAGACACATCCTTCCGGCAGTGGACCACACTTTGGCCATGCTGTCCGGAGCAAAGGTGTTCACTAAACTTGATGCCACCTCAGGTTTCTGGCAGATCCCATTGGCCGAAGAAAGCAAGCTACTAACAACGTTTATAACCCCATTTGGCAGGTATGCATTTAACCGGTTGCCATTTGGGATCTCATCGGCTCCTGAGCACTTCCAGCGTCGGATGTCACAGATGCTAGAGGGGTGCGAGGGAGTAGTGTGCCACGCCGATGACGTTGTGGTCTTTGGAGAAAACACACAGCAACACAACGAGAGACTCCACAAGGTGCTGAAGAGGCTCAGGTCAGAAGGACTCACACTAAATGATAAGTGTGAGTTCCTAAAAGACAAAATAATGTTTGTGGGTCACTGTGTCACAGCAGAAGGTGTGTCCCCAGATCCAAACAAAGTCAAGGCGATAATAGAAATGCCAGAACCGAGTGATGCAGAGGGTGTGAGGAGAATTATGGGCATGGCGAACTACCTAGGGAAGTTTCTCCCACATCTTGCATCTTTCTCAAAACCATTGAAAGATTTACTCAGTGAAAAGAATGAGTGGCACTGGGGAGCCCCACAGAAGGAGGCTTTTCTAAAACTTAAGACTGAACTGAGTTCACCACGTGTCCTGGCTTCATATTCTATAGAGGCAGAGACATGTGTGGCAGCCGACGCCTCATCATATGGGCTCGGTGCCGTTCTTACACAGGCACAGAAAGATGGAACATGGAGGCCAGTAGTGTTCATTTCCAGAGGTTTGACAGAAGCAGAAAAACATTACGCTCAAATAGAAAAAGAGGTTCTGGCTGTGACATGGGCATGTGAAAGGTTAGCGCCCTATGTCCATGGACTCACTTTCAAGTTAGAGACAGACCATAAACCTCTAGTATCTCTGCTGAGTACCAAAGCATTGGATGAGTTACCCCCGAGAGTACTGAGGTTCCGTTTGAGACTAATGAAGTTCACATTCGAGATTGTACATGTTCCAGGGAAGCAGTTAATAACAGCAGACACCCTGTCGAGAGCACCAGTGAATTACACATTCACTCAGGAGGAAATGAAAAATGAAACTGAGGTCCAAGTGTTCATTGATTCAGTGGTCCAGAGTATACCAGCTACAGAGCCCAGATTACGAGGCATCCAGCAGGAACAACAAAATGACTCTGTCTGCAAGAGACTCATACAGTATTGTAAGACCGGTTGGCCCGAAAAACAGGCCCTTCCTCCAGATTTAGTAATATACTGGGGGGAAAGAGAGAATCTAAGCGTAGCAGGAGAGCTCTTACTGAGAGGACAGAGACTGTTCATTCCAACAAAGATGAGGAGAGACATTTTGAATCAGCTTCACAGTGGTCACCAAGGCATAGTCAAATTTAGAGCTAGGGCCCGTCAATCAGTCTGGTGGCCAGGAATATCAGTACAAATCAGTCAGTTAGTGGAAAAATGTGATACGTGTTCCAAGCACAGAGCGGAATACAGGGAACCACTGCTGACCACACCCATACCAGAGCGTCCCTGGCAGAGGGTAGGGACTGATTTGTTTTTCTGGGAGAAAGAGACTTTCATTCTGATTGTGGACTACTTCTCGAGGTATATTGAAGTGGCAAAACTGAATGCTCCATCGTCTGCTACAGTCATAGCGGCCATCAAGGAGACATTTAGTCGCCATGGGATTGCCGAGGTGGTAGTATCGGACAATGGGCCCCAATACAGCAGTGATTTATTTAAAGACTTTGCTGCAGAGTATGGGTTCATTCACACTACCAGTAGCCCTCGGTATCCACAGGCAAATGGCGAAGCTGAAAGAGCAGTAGCCACTGTAAAAGGACTGTGGAAAGGAGGAGGTGAAAAGACAAAAGCACTTCTAGCATACCGGGCTACTCCTCTCGAGTGCGGCTATTCTCCCGCACAGCTTCTGATGGGCAGACAATTAAGAACAACACTGCCACAGCGTCCAGTCACCCTCTCTCCACGGTGGCCAAACATCAAAAACTTTAGAGACAATCAGAGACGGAACAAATCAAACCAACAACGACGCTACGATCGGCGCTACAGGACCAGGCCATTACCCTGTCTGCAGACCGGTCAGAATGTGTGGCTCCCAAGAGAGAACAAAGAAGGGACAGTCGTACACAAAGCAACTACACCAAGGTCATATGTTATCAACACTGACGAGGGACAAATCAGGCGTAATCGTGCTCATGTGAGACCATTATGTTTACCAGCATCTGTAGAGTCAACAGGTGAATCTACTAGTGCAGAGACATACACATGTAATGATAAAAGCACACATAATGATAACATACAGGACACAGCCCCGTATATAACATCCTCAGGACGTGTGTCCCGTCCTCCCAAGCGCTTAGACTTGTAGAAATGTGCTATGGTACAAGTGAATGTTTATTGTTTTGTTCAAAATAGGAATGTTACAGAAGTGTTCACAAAAGAAAACTGTTTACAAGTGTTAAAAATGTCTAATGTGGTTTTGACATTGATTTGAAAGTTAAAAGCATGTGGGAAGGTTCTGACTAAAGAGGGGAGGTGTTGAGTAAGGCGGAACTATGTTGTGCTTCACCCGGATATGTATTGTGGTTACACACATGTTAGTTCTCCAAGTAAAGACGTGACTTGCTTTACACACGTGTTGTCTCTGTTACTACGTTAAGTGAGGTTCAGCTAACGTAACATCCCCTATCACTAAAAACATGTACAATAGGTTCTGGCATAAGCCTCCTGTACTGGCCCCGCTCCCATCTCTGTGTAGACTAATGCCCACAAATGTAAACCGCTTTGACTCTGGTCTGTGAAAGGCGCTATATAAATAAATATTAAAGATTTGATCATATCACAGCAGTTTTACAATCTGGCTTCCAGTGTATTATAGAAGAGACTCTAAAATACTTCTCTTGGTGAAGAAAACACTGAATGAACTTGTCCCAAAAAATGTTCAAGACATGTGAAACTAAGAGGGTCTCAGGTCTAGGACAGCTTTACCGTCACAAATGTCAGGACCAAAAAGAGTGAGAGGTGGAACACTCTTCCACATCAACTGAGAACTTTTCCAACTATAGAAGTTTTTAAAGTGGCAATATGTAAGATGTTCATGTGAAGTCCTCACTAAAGGGCCCTAATCTGTCCAAAGACATTAATACTGCTCTTTTCCAATACGTCTTTCACTGATAACAGTAGTTCAGAGATATTTGGATTTCAAATAAAGTTTTCCAGCCTCTAAATCTTGTCCCGCCCTCCACAGTTTCACCAATCAGAAAGACCGTGAACCGGTTTTTCAGAAATCATCACGTCGAGCTAATCTCACCGGTAAAGTACCATGTGGCTGCGGAACTAAAAAAGGTCTTGTTATAATTCTCAAATCATTAACAACAAAAAGGTGTTGGTGGTAGATTTGTTGTTGAAAAAACTCTTTTCTGTTCAGATATTTTGGTCCCAGATGAATACATGAATGTTTTACTGTGTTATTTCTGTTCCTGGTAAGAACCCTGAGTTGTGTCTGCATGAGCGGTGCTTTATAATAAAATTTGCCTTGCCTTGATGGTAGGGTCCTCCCCCTTGGCCCCTCCCCCTTGGCCCCTCCCCTTGGCCCCTCCCCATGGCCCCTCCCCATGGCCCATCATCACTGCCACACGCCTGACGCTGCGTTTGCTGAAGCCTCCACCTCAGACGTGTGATTATTGTCTGCAGCTGTAATCCTCATGACACCTCAGAGACCAGACACAAGACCAGACTCAAGACCAGACCCAAGACTAGACCCAAGACCAGACCCAAGACTAGACCCAAGACCAGACCAAAGACCAGACTCAGGACCAGACCCAAGACCAGACCAAAGACCAGACTCAAGACCAGACCCAAGACCAGACCCAAGACTAGACCCAAGACCAGACCCAAGACTAGACCCAAGACCAGACCCAAGACCAGACTCAAGACCAGACCCAAGACCAGACCAAAGACCAGACTCAGGACCAGACCCAAGACCAGACCCAAGACTAGACCCAAGACCAGACCCAAGACTAGACCCAAGACCAGACTCAAGACCAGACCCAAGACCAGACCCAAGACCAGACTCAAGACCAGACCCAAGACCAGACCAAAGACCAGACTCAGGACCAGACTCAGGACCAGACCCAAGACCAGACTCAAGACCAGACCCAAGACCAGACTCAGGACCAGACCCAGGACCAGACCCAAGACCAGACTCAAGACCAGATCCAAGACCAGACCCAAGACCAGACCCAAGACCAGACCCAAGACCAGACCCAAGACCAGACCCAAGACCAGACCCAAGACCAGACCCAAGACCTGACCCAAGACCAGACCCAAGACCAGACCCAAGACCAGACCAAAGACCAGACTCAGGACCAGACCCAGGACCAGACCCAGGACCAGACCCAAGACCAGACCCAGGACCAGACCCAAGGCCAGACCAATGTGGGCAGTGTGTGTATGTGTCTACATGATGTGTGAGTGTGTGTGTTACCCTGCGCTGCCCCCGGTGGTCACATTGGGCTCTGCTCCCGAAGTCCCAGACCGGGGCTGGGGCCACAGCGTTGGGGGAGGCGGGCCCCAGGTGCAGCCTCTTCTGGGCCCTGAAGCTCAGGACCGAGGCCTCCAGCTCCAGACAGTCCCTGCGAGACTCCTTCAGCTCGTCTAGTCTGCGTCTGTGTGCGCGGTCGTGCAGGATGACGGCGGCGAGGGGCAGACTGAAGACCCTCGGAGCCATGTCTGTGGAGAGGGCAGGTTAAAGACCGAAGACCAGAGAGAGACCAGAGATACAGTAGACTAAAGGGAATAGATAGAGACAAGAGAGAGACTAAAGGGACGAGATAGAGACCAGAGAGAGACTAAAGGGTCTAGATAGAGACCAAAGAGAGATCAGAGATAGACAAGAGGACCAGATAGAGACCAGAGAGAGACTAGAGAGGGACTAGAGAGACCAGAAAGATAGAGAGACCAGAGAGACCAGAGAGAGACCAGAAAGGCCTGACAGAAGACACAAGGAGCCAGGTCCGTGGAAAGGAGAGCAGGTTAGAGATCGAAGACACGGCAAGCCAAGTGTATTTGTAAAGCACAGATCATACGCAAGGCAACCCAAAAAGCTGAACAAAACAAGACACAATCCCACAGATAAACAGAACTGTTTTTACACTGAATTGGAACATTGACAGAGAAGACACCTGCCTCACATTTTCAGGAAGACCGTTCCAGATTTCAGGTCCATACATTTGAAATGCTGCCTCCTCATGTTTAGTCCTGACTCTGGATTCAGAAAAAACACTTCAGGTAAAAACAAAAAAAACGGTGAAAACGGTTGGACCTGCAGCCACGCCGACCCCTTGAGGATCAGTTTGACACCCTGTTTTAGACCCTATTTTTTGACCATTTTTGCCCCTTTATTTTAGTTTGTATTAGTTTTTATTAGGGCTGTCAAACAATAAAACATTTTTTATCGAATTAATTACAGCTAAAAAAACGAATTAATTGTATTAATTCACATTTCGAACTAACAGCAAAATGATGCCATATTTTTCTGTAAATGGTTGTTTTAATGGAAAAATAAATGACATATATATAATGTGTATACTGTATTTGTTTATTATAACAATAAATAATATAAAATAGAATTAACATTATTCACATTGTGTCTTTCTGTAGCAGACAATGTATTTTCAAAGTTAGCTGTGTATGAATTCAGGCCGTAAAAAGTGCTGAGTAGAGACTTTGCGTGACGCTCGTTCTCCTAGGCCACGCCCCCTGTAGCGTCTGCAGCGCATGCAAACAACAGCAGGTGGCTATACCTCCTCTGGCTGTAAGTGCAGACACAGCAGTAAAAGAGCCCAAAAGACGAAACAGTGAGGAAGAGAAGTGAGAACTAAAGCGAAAAAAATTATCAAAGAAGAAATCAAGCCCGGGCGAACATAGCTAGCGAACATAGCTAGCTTACATCGTATCGTCAGGAGAGACTTGTCTATGGGAGAGACTTGTCTATGGGAGAGACCTGCAGGACCGCCTCGGACTAACTTTGGCGGGTCATTCGGCACATAGGTTAATGCGTTAATTTTTTTTTTACGCGATTAATAAAAATAATTAATTAACATGCATCAACGCAATAATTTTGACAGCCCTCGATTTTATATTCATTTTTTTTTTTTACATTTTTACACCTGCATTTATCCCTGGCTTTTATGTAACGGCGGTAGTTAAACCTGGGAGGACGAAGGACCTTGCACCTTGTGTCCCTGGTGGTGTCCCTGCAGGCTCCGCTCAGACCACACACACTTGGTTCACATGTTTCTCAGGGTGAGTTTGTTTAGGTTCTAGTTACTCCTGGATCAGAGATTATAGGATCAGACGTTCCGAGGGATAATCCGTGTGAGAATACTGACGCACATGTTACATACGTGTTCAAATGTATGTGGAGCAGAAATGACATGAGGTGATGTGAAACTGCACAGATGCAGGTGTCTGTGCTAAACGCCGCACAGACACCTCAAAGATCAGCACCGGTTGGCCTCTGCTGTTGCCATGGTAACGCCTATGTTGTGGCGGCTAACGAGATTAGGTCATGTGATGTCGCACGCCCATTAAAGCTGCACCGGAGAGAGATAGTTCAAGTCTGCGAGACCTGTTAAAGACGTCGCTTTAGTCTCCGCTCTCGTTCTGTTGTTTCCAGTTAAAACTTCTATCTGCTTTTCTTCAGTTTATTCTGCGATAGTTTTTCCCCTGAGTTTGGCCTGAATCAGTTTGCTCCAATATTAAGTTTATTTGTATAGCACAGTTCACACACAACACAAAACAGATCGAAACAATACAAGGCATTAAAACAAATTCACAATCACAGAACATTTAAAAGAGTGAAGATAACATCCTTCAGTTGTCGCAGCTAAACACAACTGTTTTGGACCTGGATTTGAACATTGTCAGAGTAAAAGCCCGTAACAACCTCCTCTACGGACCTCCCACCTCTCATCTCCAAAAACTGCAATACATCCAGAACTCTGCAGCCCGCCTCCTCACCCACAGCCGGCCCAGAGAACACATCACCCCTGTCCTCCAGCAGCTCCACTGGCTCCCCATTCAATACTGCATCCATTATAAGCTCCTTCTCCTCACCTACAAGTCCCTCCATAACCTGGCCCCGCCCCCTACCTACTGAGCTCCTACAACAGCACCAACCCAGCCGCCGCCTTCGCTCAGCCGATTCCAACCTACTCACTCCCGTCACCCGCACAAACCGCCAGACCTTGGGGGACAGAGGCTTTGCTATTGCCGCCCCAACCCTCTGGAACTCACTCCCACTGCCCATTAGAAACTCTGACTCGCTACCAAACTTTAGATCAGTCTCAAAACCCATATTTTCAAGCAAGCTTTTGCGTAAACCCCTTTTATTATTTTTTGTATTATTTTCCCATGCAGGAGGCCAGTCCCTGTGCTCCTCAGAGTCCCAGCAGGAGGCAGTCCCTGTGCTCCTCAGAGTCCCAGCAGGAGGCCAGTCCCTGTGCTCCTCAGAGTCCCAGCAGGAGGCCAGTCCCTGTGCTCCTCAAAGTTGGTGCATATGGCTCTAACACATCTCAGATGTACTTTGGTGCGAGGCCATGGAGAGACTTATAACAAAGAGAGCTGCTGTGTATTGTTGAACACACACACACCCTTCATAAACCAAAGTCTGTACTTGTTCAAAAGATAAATATGTGACACTGTACACATTGTTTTTCCCGCTCTTTCTGCTGTTGAGGAGCAGAACTCATAAATCTGGGAGCTGCTGATCCACATGCTGTGGTCAGGAGACATTAATCTGCTCTAAACTGCTCTCATTCACACAGGTACACAAAAGAGGCACAATGATACACCAACTCACACTAAACCACACACGGACACACACATACTCACGCACACTGCACACATACTGACACAATGCACACACACACTAACATCGGTTGACGCACACTGACACACACACACTGTCACAGCCTGACGCACACTTACGCACACTGGTGCACATACTGACGCACACACAGGCACACTGCCGCACACACACACACTGGTGCACACACACACACACACACACACACAGGGCCCGGTGGCTCTCTGCCTGCTGCAGCTTATGCCTCAGAATAACTTAGGATCAATCTAGATTACGTCTCTGTGTTTGATCAGTTCATCTGAGAATAACTCTCACAGAGGCACAAGCAGTGACCAATCAGAGGCCTTCATTTGCTTAAACAATCACCAGCTGGCCTTAGCAACCACCAGCTTTCCTTAGCAACCACTTTGGCAACATGGCTGTACCTGTTAGCTAACGAAGCTAACGCCACGGAAGAAATGAGTCACAACAAGCAGACGTCATAGAGTCACAACAAGCAGAAATCATAGAGTCACAACAAGCAGACGTCATAGAGTCACAACAAGCAGAAATCATAGAGTCACAACAAGCAGACATCATAGAGTCACAACAAGCAGAAATCATAGAGTCACAACAAGCAGACGTCATAGAGTCACAACAAGCAGATGTCATAGAGTCACAACAAGCAGAAATCATAGAGTCACAACAAGCAGATGTCATAGAGTCACAACAAGCAGAAATCATAGAGTCACAACAAGCAGACGTCATAGTCACAACAAGCAGACATCATAGAGTCACAACAAGCAGACATCATAGAGTCACAACAAGCAGAAATCATAGAGTCACAACAAGCAGATGTCATAGAGTCACAACAAGCAGACGTCATAGAGTCACAACAAGCAGATGTCATAGAGTCACAACAAGCAGAAATCATAGAGTCACAACAAGCAGACGTCATAGAGTCACAATAAGCAGAAATCATAGAGTCACAACAAGCAGACATCATAGAGTCACAACAAGCAGAAATCATAGAGTCACAACAAGCAGATGTCATAGAGTCACAACAAGCAGACGTCATAGAGTCACAACAAGCAGATGTCATAGTCACAACAAGCAGAAATCATAGAGTCACAACAAGCAGATGTCATAGAGTCACAACAAGCAGAAATCATAGAGTCACAACAAGCAGACGTCATAGAGTCACAACAAGCAGACATCATAGAGTCACAACAAGCAGACATCATAGAGTCACAACAAGCAGAAATCATAGAGTCACAACAAGCAGATGTCATAGAGTCACAACAAGCAGACGTCATAGAGTCACAACAAGCAGATGTCATAGAGTCACAACAAGCAGAAATCATAGAGTCACAACAAGCAGACGTCATAGAGTCACAACAAGCAGATGTCATAGAGTCACAACAAGCAGACGTCATAGAGTCACAACAAGCAGACTTCATAGAGTCACAACAAGCAGACGTCAGAGTCACAACAAGCAGACGTCATAGAGTCACAACAAGCAGATGTCATAGAGTCACAACAAGCAGACGTCATAGAGTCACAACAAGCCGACATCATAGAGTCACAACAAGCAGACGTCATAGAGTCACAACAAGCAGACATCATAGAGTCACAACAAGCAGACATCATAGAGTACCAACAAGCAGACATCATAGAGGAACATAAACCTCAGATGGAAATTACTCGGATGAGCTTCCTCCGCAGAGTGGCTGCTCCCTTAGAGATAGGGTGAGGAGCTCAGTCACACGGGAGGAGCTCGGAGTAGAGCCGCTGCTTCTTCACGTCGAGAGAAACCAGTTGAGGTGGCTCGGGCATCTGTTCTGGATGCCTCCTGGACGCCTCCCTGGGGAGGCACGTCCCACCGGGAGGAGGCCCCGGGGAAGACCCAGGACACGCTGGAGGGACTATGTCTCTCAGCTGGCCTGGGAACGCCTTGGGGTCCCCCCGGACGAGCTGGAGGAAGTGTTTGTGGATAGGGAAGTCTGGGTGTCTCTGCTTAGACTGTTGCCCCCGCGACCCGGCAACGGATAAAGCGGAAGAAGATGGAATGGAAGATGGAATGGAAATTACTGAAGAAAAAGTAAAAAGTGCGCCCTCTCCAGGTCTCGGAGTTTCACAAGTCGTGTTTTAAACTTGGTGCCTGATCAACGTGGTGATGTCACGTCTGGAGTATTTGCACGTTCTGCTGATGCCTGCTGTGAGCTCTGTTTATTTCCCCAGAGTTTGTGTAGTGTAGGAGCTCATTACAGGAGGAAAAACAAACACTTTAGTCCTGGACTCTGCCAACTCAGGGTTTAGAGACCGAGGACTTGGTTCAGACATGGTTTATACCTGGTTTAGACCTGGATTAGTTCTGGTTTAGACCTGGATTAGTCCTTGTTTAGGCCTGTTTTATTTGACCTTCCAAAAGTTCCCACTGTGTGTTTGAGGTAAACTGTTAACATAAAACATATGTTTGAATGAGGTGACCCACAAATTAAGACTAGGTTGTCCTGCTTTAGTCCTGCTTTAGTCCTGCTTTAGTCCTGCTTTAGTCCTGCTTTAGACCTGCTTTAGACCTGCTTTAGACAAGCTTTAGTCCTGCTTTAGTACTGCTTTAGACTTGCTTTTAGATCTGCTTTAGACCTGCTTTAGACTTGCTTTTAGATCTGCTTTAGACCTGCTTTAGACCTGCTTTAGATCTACTTTAGTCCTGCTTTAGACCTGCTTTAGACCTACTTTAGACCTGCTTTAGACCTACTTTAGACCTGCTTTAGACCTGCTTTAGTCCTGCTTTAGACCTGCTTTAGTCCTGCTTTAGTCCTGCTTTAGTCCTGCTTTAGACCTGCTTTAGACCTGCTTTAGACCTGCTTTAGTCCTGCTTTAGACCTGCTTTAGTCCTGCTTTAGTCCTGCTTTAGTACTGCTTTAGACCTGCTTTAGACCTGCTTTAGACTTGCTTTTAGATCTGCTTTAGACCTGCTTTAGACTTGCTTTTAGATCTGCTTTAGACCTGCTTTAGACCTGCTTTAGATCTACTTTAGTCCTGCTTTAGACCTGCTTTAGACCTACTTTAGACCTGCTTTAGACCTACTTTAGACCTGCTTTAGACCTGCTTTAGTCCTGCTTTAGACCTGCTTTAGACCTGCTTTAGATCTGCTTTAGTCCTGCTTTAGACCTGCATTAGACCTGCTTTAGTCCTGCTTTAGTCCTGTTTTAGTCCTGTTTTAGACCTGCTGTAGATCTACTTTAGACCTGCTTTAGACAAACTTTAGTCCTGTTTTAGACCTGCTGTAGATCTACTTTAGACCTGCTTTAGACAAACTTTAGTCCTGTTTTAGTCCTGTTTTAGACCTGCTGTAGATCTACTTTAGACCTGCTTTAGACAAACTTTAGTCCTGTTTTAGTCCTGTTTTAGACCTGCTGTAGATCTACTTTAGACCTGCTTTGACAGGACTAAACCAGGTTTGTCCCACGGCTTCCGCAGAAAATCTGTGTTTATGGTGTTTACATGAAAAGAGAGCAGAGACATAAACACAGAGAACCACACACTTATTTCTGTTCCATTTCGGTTCCTTCTGTTCTTCAACATGATGGAAGTATTATACTGTCATTACATCTGTTCAAATCTGAAATAATATGTGTAGAAAATGTGCTGAAGAGAGTACTGTTGTAAAGCAGATTTCCCACTGACATTTTTTTTTCTTAAAGTAGGGCTTTTTAGAATTCCCTTGTTTCATTCGGTCTTTTTTTCAAACCGTGCAGATGTGTTCACAAGATTTCAGAAAATGTGCAGTTGTTGTGCTTTGCTAATTCCTTACAAAAGTATTTATTGAACTTTTTTCAACAGTAGGTTTTTTAAATATTGTGTGGCTCCGATCACTTTGAGTCTAAAGCTGCTCCTTTTTGCGGCGGCGTTCCTCTGGGTTCGATCTTAGGCCAAATGCTTTTTACTGTTTACTGTCTGCCTTTGGGGTAACACTGTGGTTATGGTTAGTATTGACTTTTTCATTCATAAATATATCTTAAAACATTCACATCAACGTAGTTTGAAACACTATCCCATCAAAGTTTGATTTGAAACCCTGTGATGAAGAACAATGGAACAAGACCTCCCACATTGCTTCTTTATGGTCCTCATGCAGCAGATTACAGACCACACACACACACAATACTGCATACATAGACATACACCCACACCCACACACACACACACACACACGCACACACACACGCACTCACACACACACACACACACACACACACACACACAAACTTAGGCCTAATCCTTGCTCCGGAGCCAAAAGGCCAGCACCTCCTGTCCAGCAGAAGTTATTAGCAGCGTTAACGTTAGCATTAATGTTAGTATTAGCGGCTAATCTCCAATCAGGAGCAGGAGATTAATGTCCCAGAGTCAGACTTTAATCAGTGACATCACAGTGCAGTCTTTATGAACAGTCGACAGCAGGAGGGTCAATTCATTTTTGGTTTAAAAACTTAGCCCCTCTCTATTTGGGGGAAAAAGTCGTTTACTTTTTCTTTTCTTTTTTGTATACTGACAAATATGGCTAACTTAACTTTTGATTATATGTTAGTTGACGTTTTAGAAAAAATGTAATGTTTTTCGGTAGAAAATAAGCTTTAAAATTAAGTATAAAATGCCATAGTAACCCATTACATTACATCAATGCTGCAAAAAAGTGTAATACCGATAATTGAAAACCGTTTCAGCACCACAGGCCCCGCTGAATAGACAACAGTGGGAAAGCTTGGCATGTTGTTTGAACCCGTGTCGCCTTTTCACCACAGGGAAGTCAGAAACATATCAAAACGTATTCCCCACTCTAAAAATAAGTCTTATAAAACGAGATGTAAAAAAAACCATCTAGTACTCTCTGGTGCTGTGCGAGTATACAGTACCAGAGATACACCAGAGAGAAACCAGAGAGAAACCAGAGAGACACCAGAGAGAAACCAGGGAGAAACCAGGGAGAAACCAGGGAGAAACCAGAGAGAAACCAGGGAGAAACCAGAGAGAAACCAGAGAGAAACCAGGGAGAAACCAGAGAGAAACCAGGGAGAAACCAGAGAGAAACCAGAGAGAAACCAGAGAGAAACCAGAGAGAAACCAGAGAGAAACCAGAGAGAGACCAGGGAGAAACCAGAGAGAAACCAGAGAGAAACCAGGGAGAAACCAGAGAGAAACCAGAGAGAAACCAGAGAGAAACCAGAGAGACACCAGGGAGAAACCAGAGAGAAACCAGGGAGAAACCAGAGAGACACCAGGGAGAAACCAGAGAGAAACCAGGGAGAAACCAGGGAGAAACCAGAGAGAAACCAGGGAGAAACCAGAGAGCGACGAGACTAGAGGGAGACCAGTTAGAGACCAGAGAGAAACCAGAGAGAGACTTGACTAGGGGGAGACCAGAAAGAGACCAGAAAGAGACAAGACTAGAGGGTGACCAGAGAGAGACCAGAGAGAAACCAGAGAGAGACTAGACTAGAGGAAGGCCAGAGGGAGACCAGAGAGAGACTAGACTAGAGGGAGTCCAGAGAGACCAAACTAGAGGGAGACCAGAGAGAGACTAGACTAGAGGGAGGCCAGAGAGAGACCAAACTAGAGGGAGACCAGAGAGAGACTAGACTAGAGGGAGGCCAGAGAGAGACCAAACTAGAGGGAGGCCAGAGAGAGACTAGACTAGAAAGGACACCAGAGGGAATCAAAGTATGATGGACTACGGAAAGTTTCTCATTCACGTTGAGGCAGACAGACACTTTCCAACAGTTTTTTACAAGGACAACTTTGTAAAGGAAAGAGCAGCACTTGCAATAGCCCAAACTCTGACAGTGAGAGCTTCACTCACCCAAACACAGCTCCACGTCATTATGCAAAGTACAGTCCACAAAAACACTGTGATTGTGTTCAACTCACCGCGATCTTTCTTCTCCTTTGAAAACGAATCAAACTTTCTGCGAATCGACTTCCTCCTTTTCCTCGTCCCTGAAAGAACAAACAAATCAGAGTGGAGGGGAGATTATCGTGGTGCAATCTGAGAGCTTTGAGTTTGAACACAAACTTAAAGCTGAGGTACGTAGCTTTAGCCTCACAACATACTGTATGTAGTTTCTCTGGTTCTCTCTTTGTCACTTTTTTGTCCAAAGAAGAGGCCAAAAAAGAGCAAACTGTTTCAGAACCAGGGAGTAGAGACATTGATTTTATTACAGAGTTCTTTTGTTGTCATTTGAAAGTCCACAATCCACAACCCTGAAAGTTACATACCCTAGCTTTAACAAAGACCAAAGCAGTATATTAAAGCAGCAGTATGTAAAAATCTGGCCAAAAGTGGTACTGCAATCTCTCCCACTCTCCCTGACTCAGGTTGCCAGATATGCAGACGAATCCAGCTGGGACCATAACAGCTGAAGAGACAAGAGTTTAGTCAACAACAAATCTATAACCAACACCGTTTTCACAAAGATGGAAATCCTGGTTTTATTCCTTGTTTTGTCGTTAATAGCCACATGGTACTTTACTAGTAAGATTAGCTTGACGAGGTGAGTTCTGGTGCCCGGATCACAGACTTTCTGATTGGTGAAACGGTGGAGGGCAGGACATCGAAATGAAAACAATAACAAGATAGGGGCTAACTAATCTTAAAATTCAAATCTCTCTGAGCTACTGTTATCAGTTAAAGAAGTATTGGAAAAGAGCATGATTTATTAATACCTTTTGACAGATTAGGGCCCTTTAATGAAGGACTTGACATGAAAATCTTACATAACGCTACTTTAAGATTAAGAGTAAGAGATCCTTTTTTGGGCCCACAGTGGGGAAATGTCAGTGTTGCATCATCAGTCACAGAACAGTATAGGAATGAGGATAACTCTGCACTAAAATAAAATCTATCACTTAAGCATAATAAAGAAGCAGGTGTACGTGACACATGTGGTTCTATAGAGCACATATTTAACCGGTAGAACCATGGAGAACCATGGAGACAGGATTGATGGTCCTGTCTTTATGGTTACACATTCACAAGAAAAGCACTGGTCCACATGCGTCCTGCTGTTGGACCCTGATCGCTCTAGGACTTATGTAAACACTTCATTTCCTGTGAGAAGCCGAGTCTGAGCTCTGACCTGCTTCTGTCCCGGGACTGAGGATGAGACCGGGGCCTTCAGACCAGGCACTCAGTGTGACCCGGCCCTCAGTAAGACCAGGCACTCAGTGTGACCCGCCCTCAGTAAGACCAGGCACTCAGTGTGACCCGGCCCTCAGTAAGACCTGGCACTCAGTAAGACCAGGCACTCAGTAAGACCAGGCACTCAGTGTGACCCGGCCCTCAGTAAGACCTGGCCCTCACTGAGACCCGGAATGATGGAATATAAGGACGTAAAGGCTATAATCGATAGTCCATCTGATAAAGATAAAATCCCAGAGTTGTATACACAGCTAAACAGAACTGTTTTCATCCTGGGTTTGAACATTGTCAGAGAAGAAGCCTGTCTCACATTTTGAGGAAGACTGTGAAACTGAACTGTTGCCTCCAAATGTTTAGTTCTGACTCTGGGCACCAGCAGGAGGCCAGTCCCTGTGCTCCTCAGAGTCCCAGCAGGAGGCCAGTCCCTGAGCTCCTCAGAGTCCCAGCAGGAGGCCAGTCCCTGTGCTCCTCAGAGTCCCAGCATTAGGCCAGTCCCTGTGCTCCTCCGAGTCCCAGCAGGAGGCCAGTCCCTGCGCTCCTCAGAGTCCCAGCAGGAGGCCAGTCCCTGTGCTCCTCAGAGTCCCAGCAGGAGGCCAGTCCCTGTGCTCCTCAGAGTCCCAGCATTAGGCCAGTCCCTGTGCTCCTCCGAGTCCCAGCAGGAGGCCAGTCCCTGCGCTCCTCAGAGTCCCAGCAGGAGGCCAGTCCCTGCGCTCCTCAGAGTCCCAGCAGGAGGCCAGTCCCTGCGCTCCTCAGAGTCCCAGCATTAGGCCAGTCCCTGTGCTCCTCAGAGACCCAGCAGGAGGCCAGTCCCTGCGCTCCTCAGAGTCCCAGCAGGAGGCCAGTCCCTGTGCTCCTCAGAGTCCCAGCAGGAGGCCAGTCCCTGTGCTCCTCAGAGTCCCAGCAGGAGGCCAGTCCCTGCGCTCCTCAGAGTTATGGCACTAACATGTCTCAGATGTACTTTGGTGCGAGGCTGTGGAGAGACTTGAGCAGAGTGAGAATTGTCTTAACAACAAAGACTTTTTGGATTTTCCGTTGGAAAAGAATGTATTTATCGTCTGATATCTGAGCGTGTGTCAGAGCATGTGATGTCTTTGTTGCCAAAATGAATTTAACCCCTTCCGAGATCGGTAACCCAGAGTCCGGTAACCCAGAGCCAATCAGCTCTCAGCCCAAAGAGTCCAATAGTGAGTCCAATAGTGACTCACAAAAATAGCAAGTTTTCAGATGAAGACCTTGGACTGTCGTAGTCCCAGAGTCCGAGCGGAACCGGCCTAAAAATATGAACTCAAATAAACAAGGACATGTTTTCTACGGATCAGAGGAAGAGCTTTGGTCTAAACTGGGACCGGACTGGGACTGAACCAGGTGTGAACTAACCAGGACTAAACCAGGACTGGGCTATGCCTGGACCAGGAATGAACCAGAACAAAACCAAGACTGAATTAGGACTAAACTAGGGCTTAACTAGGACTGAAGCAGGACTGGACCAGGACTGTATCCGGACTGAGCAAGGACCGGACCACAATTATCTAAGTATTTTGTCCTGGGAATATGTGAAAGCAGTGGTTGTCGTGGTAACAGGCGTGTCCCCAAAGACTGAAGGAATGAACTGCAGATTTAACCCCTGATGGAGACTTAGTGAGATCGGAAATCAGACCTCACTCCTTCACCTCCTTTTCACTCTCTTACCTCCTCCCTCATTCTCTCACCTCCTTTTCACTATCTCACCTCCTCACTCTCTCACTTCTACCCTCACTCTCTCCCCTCCTACCTCACCTCCTCCCTCACTCTCTCCCCTCGTCCCTCACCTCCTCCCTCACTCTCTCACCTCCTTTTCACTCTCTCACCTCCTCCCTCATTCTCTCACCTCCTTTTCACTATCTCACCTCCTCACTCTCTCACTTCTACCCTCACTCTCTCCCCTCCTACCTCACCTCCTCTCTCACTCTCTCCCCTCGTCCCTCACCTCCTCCCTCATTCTCTCACCTCCTTTTCACTATCTCACCTCCTCACTCTCTCACTTCTACCCTCACTCTCTCCCCTCCTCCCTCACCTCCTCCCTCACTCTCTCCCCTCGTCCCTCACCTCCTCCCTCACTCTCTCACCTCCTTTTCACTCTCTCACCTCCTCCCTCACTTTCTCACCTCCTCCTCACTCCTTCACCTCCCCCTCACTCTCTCACCTCTTCCCTCACTCTATCACATACTCTCTCACCTCACTCTCTTCCCTCCCCTCTCACTCTCTCACCTACTTTTCACTGTCACCTCACTCTTGCACCTGCGCCCTCACTATCTCACACCTTCCCTCACTAACTCACCTCCTCCCTCACTCTCCTCTCCTCTCTCACCTCACCCCTCACTCTGTCACCTCCCCTCTCCCTCTCTCACCTCCCTCCTCCCTCTCTCACCTCCCCCTTCCCCTCTCTCTCGCCTCCTCCCTCTGCTACACACCTGTCCTCATCAGCCTCCCTTATAGGCACTTGTAAGCGGAGCCTCTCAGTCCCTTCATTGAGCTGCTGTTCGTGCAGAAACCCGTCTCAGCACTGGGTTGAAAACAGCAGAAAACTTCCCGTACCTTTGGGAATACTGATGCTGAAGGGCAGCTCCCTCTGCTCCAGGTGCCACAGCGCCACCTGCTGGAGCCGCGCCCTCTCCAGCTCCGACAGACTCTGGATGTGCACAGGCAGAACATGCAACATGTGAGGCAGCATGGTCCTCCTGAGGCAGCTGTGGAGGAGAAGGTCACGTGACTGAGGGAACGACAACATGATGTCACAGTCTGAGTAGGTTTCACACTGGATCAGAGCGTTTACACAGGATTCTATTCCAATTGTTTTTGTCTCGCTCTAAATCACAAAGTTATTGATTTGCCAACGCTGATCAGAGAATCAGAAACAGGAAATGCAGTGATTACAAAAACACATAGAGCCATTGGTTGATTCAGATCAGATTCAGATCAGATTCAGATCAGATTCAGATCAGATTCAGATCAGATTCAGATTGGAGTTTGCATGTTCTCCCCGTGTCTGCGTAGGTTTCCTCCGGGTATTCCAGGTTTCCCCTACCACTAAAAATATGTCCAATAGGTCTGGCATGCGCCTCCTGTTCGGCGACCCTGCTCCCATCTCTGTGTGGAGTGAGAGGACAAGTGCCAAAAATAACAATTGTAAACCGCTTTGTGACTCTGGTCTGTGAAAGGCGGTACTATTGTCCACATGGTATTATTGTCCACATGTTCCTACTGTCCACATGGTACTATTGTCCACATGGTACTATTGTCCACATGGTGCTATTGTCCACATGGTGCTATTGTCCACATGGTGCTATTGTCCACATGGTACTATTGTCCACATGGTGCTATTGTCCACATGGTGCTATTGTCCACATGGTACTATTGTCCACATGGTGCTATTCTCCACATGGTGCTATTGTCCACATGGTACCATTGTCCACATGGTATTATTGTCCACATGGTGCTATTGTCCACATGGTACTATTGTCCACATGGTACTATTGTCCACATGGTACTATTGTCCACATGGTGCTATTGTCCACATGGTGCTATTGTCCACATGGTACTATTGTCCACATGGTGCTATTGTCCACATGGTGCTATTGTCCACATGGTACTATTGTCCACATGGTGCTATTGTCCACATGGTGCTATTGTCCACATGGTGCTATTGTCCACATGGTGCTATTGTGCAACATGGTGCTATTGTCCACATGGTGCTATTGTCCACATGGTACTATTGTCCACATGGTGCTACTGTCCACATGGTGCTATTGTCCACATGGTACTATTGTCCACATGGTGCTGTTGTCCACATGGTGCTATTGTCCACATGGTGCTATTGTCCACATGGTACTATTGTCCACATGGTACTATTGTCCACATGGTGCCATTGTGCAACATGGTTCTATTGTCCACATGGTACTATTTTCCACATGGTGCTATTGTCCACATGGTGCTATTGTCCACATGGTACTATTGTCCACATGTTGCTACTGTCCACATATTGTCCACATGGTGCTATTGTCCACATGGTAATATTGTCCACATGGTGCTATTGTCCACATGGTACTATTGTCCACATGGTGCTATTGTCCACATGGTAATATTGTCCACATGGTGCTATTGTCCACATGGTACTATTGTCCACATATTGTCCACATGGTACTATTGTCCACATGGCGCTATTGTCCACATATTGTCCACATGGTACTATTGTCCACATGGTGCTATTGTCCACATGGTACTATTGTCCACATGGTGCTATTGTCCACATGGTACTATTGTCCACATATTGTCCACATGGTACTATTGTCCACATGGTGCTATTGTCCACATGGTACTATTGTCCACATATTGTCCACATGGTATTATTGTCCACATGGTGCTATTGTGCAACATGGTGCTATTGTCCACATGGTACTATTGTCCACATGGTGCTATTGTGCAACATGGTGCTATTGTCCACATGGTACTATTGTCCACATGGTACTATTGTCCACATGGTGCTGCTTCTGCTTCAGCCTCAGCGTCTTCCACCAGAACAACACTTTGAGGCGGCTTCTGTTGGCGCAGACTTTTTTGCTGATCTCACGGTGTCATTTACTGACTTTTTTACCAAATAAAATATGAACCCGTTTTTTTTATGAAAGCCTCACATTTACAACAACAAAACAAACATTTCAGAGAGAAAATGAAGACTTAAATATGAATATTTATTTGATCATTTGCTTTTGGTCCAAACTCACATTTCTCACATAGTTGCCGACTGAGTCACACCAGCAGCCGAGTTTAAAGCTGGGGTCTGTAACTTTAGCTTGATATGAATACATACACTATAACACGAGTCTAACTGAGAAAATTTACTCGTCACATCTTTGGATCAGTTTTGTCAGACAGAGAAGTGAAAAAGAGAGACCCGCCTCATTCGGCCAATCAGCTTTCAGCCCAAAGAGTCCAGTAGTGACTCACAGGGATCTTTCTTACACAAAAGATTGCATTTTTTCTAATATTGACAATCCAAATATTATCTTGTTATCGTGTTCCATCTTTAGACGCCAATGTTTTTGCAGATTGAAAATTTGCTTCTGCCTCATTTTCAATTCACAAAAAATCAACAACAGTATATGATAAAATCGGTTTTCCTTTGCACTCAGACCAAATAGCCAAAAAGTGACTCACAGGGCTGTTTTTTACACACAAATGATAAGATAAGATAAAATAAACTTTATTGATCTCACACTGGAGTCATGTACATGTCACATTTGGCACATTTGGAGTTTATATTTTTATCTTTCTTTTTAATGTTCTGTGATTATTTATGATTTTAATGCTATCTTATTTTGTTCAGCACTTTGAGCTGCCCTCCTGACCAGCTTGTTCAGTCTGCTTCTGTCCCGCTCTGTGCTGCCCGGGGCAGCATGGCAGAGGCTACCACAGAGTCAAAAAAGTCCTGAGCAGAGGCTCACTCCGAAGGACCTCAGCCTCCTCAGAAGGACCTCAGCCTCCTCAGAAGGACCTCAGTCTCCTCAGAAGGACCTCAGCCTCCTCAGAAGGACCTCAGCCTCCTCAGAAGGACCTCAGCCTCCTCAGAAGGACCTCAGCCTCCTCAGAAGGACCACAGCCTCCTCAGAAGGACCACAGCCTCCTCAGAAGGAAGAGGCGACTTTGGCCCTTCTTGTACAGAGCGTTGGTATTATGGGACCAGTCCAGTTTATTGTTAATGTGAACACACAGGTACTGTCCCCAGCTCAGTGTCCTCCCCCTATGTTCAGCGGCGTGTGGGAAAGTGGTTTTCTAACATCTCCTAGGTCTTACTGGTGTTAGTACAGGTACCATCTCCTTGGTCTTACTGGTGTTAGCACAGGTACCATCTCCTTGGTCTTACTGGTGTTAGCACAGGTACCATCTCCTTGGTCTTACTGGTGTTAGCACAGGTACCATCTCCTTGGTCTTACTGGTGTTAGCACAGGTACCATCTCCTTGGTCTTACTGGTGTTAGCACAGGTACCATCTCCTTGGTCTTACTGGTGTTAGCACAGGTACCATCTCCTTGGTCTTACTGGTTTTCAACATGAGGTGATTGGTCCACAGCTTTTACTTTGACTGTTTCTGTTGCACAAGCTACATGTGTTATTTATGAGGCTAAAGTTACGCATCCCAGCTTTAAATAAACTGTTTCTATACAAACACTCCCTGCGGCTCATAAAAGGTTAAATATAAACTGTTTTGTGTCTGAACAGGAACCAGGAAGAACCGCACCAAAGTCCACACCATGGGAACAATGGACCAAAGCTCTGGGGTCTGCGTTCAAACTCAAACATCACAAAGAAACTGTTGGTTTAAAGCTGGGGTACGTAACTTTAGCTTCATAAATAACACGTGAAGTTTGTTCGACAGAAAGAGACTTATAATAATAATAAATATGTATGTACTGTACATACAGTATGTAAGGAGTGGAAGAATAAAGGCGCTGAATAAAAGACACTTCACATGTTACTATTCTTTCACACAGTGATGATAAACGACTACTGTAGCCACAGCTGCCCTGGGGCACACTGACACACGCGGTAGGTGTTCAATGTTGAGCACAAATCAGACCACAACATGCTGTTTTCAGATGAATAGAAACATTTTATTGTTGAGAAAGACTCCTGAGGCTGAGAGCTGATTGGCTGAGAGCGAGAGGGGTGGTCAGAGAAGATAGACTGTGTTCATCTCACAAAAGAGAAAATGTAGAGATTAGTGCTGGGACTCCATCTGAAAGTTACGTAGCCCAGCTTTAAGTAAAGTAGACTGTTATCATAGGACACAATAAACACATGCCCGCTTTAAGTCCTCGGTCTACAGCCTCAGTCCTGGGTCTACAGCCTCAGTCCTGGACCTACAGCCTCAGTCCTGGACTAACAGCCTCAGTCCTGGGTCTACAGCCTCAGTCCTGGATCTACAACCTCAGTCCTGGATCTACAGCCTCAGTGCTGGGTCTACAGCCTCAGTCCTGGATCTACAGCCTAAGTCCTGGACCACCAGCCTCAGTCGTGGATCTACAGCCTCAGTCGTGGATCTACAGCCTCAGTCCTGGATCTATAACCTCAGTGCTGGACCTACAGCCTCAGTCCTGGATCTATAACCTCAGTGCTGGACCTACAGCCTCAGTCCTGGACATACAGCCTCAGTCCTGGATCTACAGCCTCAGTCTTGGATCTACAGCCTCAGTCCTGGACCTACAGCCTCAGTCCTGGATCTACAACCTCAGTCCTGGACCTACAGTACAGCCTCAGTCCTGGATCTATAACCTCAGTCCTGGACCTACAACCTCAGTCCTGAATATACAGCCTCAGTCCTGGATCTACAGCCTCAGTCCTGGATCTACAGCCTCAGTCCTGGATCTACAGCCTCAGTCCGTCCAAGGGAGGAGAGCCATCTCTCAACATGGGCCTCCCTGAAACTTATTTTTTTTCCAAATGTGTTTTTTCCGATGCAGGAGAGTCTAAGAACAGTGAAGATCCAGGACATGTACAAACATTTCTGGAGAGTGGTCGTCCGTCTCCAATGAACTCTGGCTTCTCTGTGTTTATTTTTGCATTTCCTGTGTTCAAACTGTGAGATTCTCAGATGTTGCCGACTGAGCATAACGGAGCAAAGTGCTTGTCTCCTGTAGAAATAGTCTGTTAATCTTTTCTTTCTGATGAATCCAGATCCAAACTCTTTTAAGCGTGTGTAAATCTTATCTCCATTTGCGGTGCGTCACATGACTCCGGGGGATTTACGATCTCTCTCCCGCAAAATGGAAACTGTTCTTTTGAATTATTGAACCGTTCCACAAATGAAAAGCATATTTTTCAGTTTTCTCTCAGTGTAAAATCCAGTGGCTCTGAGTGAAGACGAGGCAGGTGTTTGATCCAGATGTGACCTCATGCCCAGGGCCACCGCCAGGCAGGCCCAGGCCCCGGGGCCAAGACAGGACTGTGGGCCCCCCTCAGTGTTAATGCAATAAACTACAATTAGAACTGTGAGAGGCCGCTTCCAAAACTGCAGCTGAAATAATAAACAACTGGAAAAACTACATAATGTGATGCAGGTTTTTAGACCAGAAATATTCATGTTTATCGAGACATATCTATGTTTCCATAATATTATTCTACACTTTTATTAGAGATGTTATTGTTGCTTTTCTATTTTGCTAAAGTTAGAGATTTTATTTTATTTTAATTCAGAGTTATTGTTCATTAATCTTGTGCTGTCCTCATTCCTACTGTTCTGTAACTAGTAACCAAGCATATACTGTAGTACCTGGTACCAGGTAAACAGGGTATGTGAAAACACTTAGAGTAGGGTAGAGTACAGTAGAATAGAGTAGAGTACAGTACAGTAGAGTAAAGTACAGTTGAATAGAGTAGAGTACAGTAGAATAGAGTACAGTACAGTAGAGTACAGTAGAGTACAGTGTAGTACGGTAGAGTATAGCACAGTAGAGTATAGTAGAGCAGAGTAGAGAACAGTAGTGCAATAGAGTAGAGTACAGTACAATAGAGTAGAGTACAGTAGAGTAGATTAGAGAACAGTCGAGTAGAGAACAGTAGAGTACAGTAGAGTACAGTACAGTAGAGAACAGTAGAGTACAGTACAGTAGAGAACAGTACGGTAGAGTACAGTACAGTAGAGAACAGTAGAGTACAGTACAGTAGAGAACAGTACAGTAGAGAACAGTACAGAAGAGAACAGTACAGTAGAGTAGAGTACAGTAGAGTACTGTAGAGTACAGTAGAGTAGAGTAGAGTACTGTAGAGTAGAGTAGAGTAGAGTAGAGAACAGTAGAGTACAGTAGAGAACAGTACAGTAGAGTAGAGTACAGTAGAGTACTGTAGAGTAGAGTAGAGTAGAGTACAGTACAGTGCAGTACAGTAGAGAACCAACTCGGGCTCTGAGGAGCACAGGGACTGGACTTCTGTTAGTGCCAAGAGTCGGAACTAGACATGGGGAGGCTGCGTTTCAGATTCATGCAGCTAGAGTCTGGAACCGTCTTCCCGAGAGTGTGAGACAGGCGTCTACTCTAGCAGTTTTTAAAACTGAACTGAAAACAGTTCTTTTTAGCTGTGCATACAAGTGAATGATTTTACATTTGTTTTTATCTTTAATCTTTTTAATGCGCTATGATTATTTATGATTATTTATGATTGTAATCCCTTGTGTGATTTTAATTTTTTACGGTTTTTAACTACTTGTGTAATTTTATATATCTTGTGCTCTTAATCTGTCTTTTTATGTTTACTTAAATTCTAATGTTTGATGATTTATGCATGATGTTATATGGGTTGTGAGGCGCTTTGCGTTGCCTTGTGTAGGAAAGGCGCTCTATAAATAAACGTTGATTGATTGATTGATTGATAGAGTACAGTAGAGTACTGTAGAGTAGAGTACAGTACAGTAGAGTAGAGTACAGTAGAGTACTGTAGAGTAGAGTACAGTAGAGAACAGTACAGTAGAGTAGAGTACAGTACAGTAGAGTAGAGTACAGTAGAGTAGAGTAGAGTACAGTAGAGTACAGTAGAGTAGAGTACAGTAGAGTACAGTAGAGTAGAGTAGAGTACAGTAGAGTAGAGTAGGGCTGGTGGAAAAGGGGCTGAAGTGAATCTTAAACAGTCTTTTATGGCCCTGTAAACAGAGATCCTGAAACTACGTTATGTTTGTGGTTTCACTCTGGTCCAAGAATACAAAATATCACAACATTTCTGTCTGTGACAAACAAACAAATAATATAAATAAAATAAAACCTCATTTAAAACACAGCTGCGCAAAAGTTACAAATATAAAAACGCTGAAGAGACACAGGAAAAATGAACAATAACTCTGATTCAATTAAAGCTCGGCTACGTGTATTTTAAAACACACAGTAAAACTACAATAAAATCTATGTCTCTATAGTTCCTGGCTCTAAAACTGTTGCTCCTATCACTAGTTTTCACATGGTCTCTCTCTGGTCTCTCTCTGGTCTCTCTCTGGTCTCTCTGGTCTCTCTGGTCTCTCTGGTCTCTCTGGTCTCTCTGGTCTCTCTTGGTCTCTCTCTGGTCTATCTGGTCTCTCTCTGGTCTCTCTCTGGTCTCACTCTGGTCTCTCTCTGGTCTCTCTCTGGTCTCTCTCTGGTCTCTCTCTGGTCTCTCTCTGGTCTCTCTCTGGCCTCTCTCTGGTCTCTCTCTGTCTCTCTCTGGTCTCTCTCTTGTCTCTCTCTTGTCTCTCTCTGTCTCTCTCTGGTCTCTCTCTGGTCTCTCTCTGGTCTCTCTGGTCTCTCTCTCTGGTCTCTCTCTGATCTCTCTCTGATCTCTCTCTGATCTCTCTCTGGTCTCTCTCTGGTCTCTCTCTGGCCTCTCTCTGGTCTCTCTCTGATCTCTCTCTGGTCTCTCTCTGGTCTCTCTCTGGTCTCTCTCTGGTCTCTCTCTAGTCTCTCTCTGGTCTCTCTCTTGTCTCTCTCTTGTCTCTCTCTGGTCTCTCTCTGGTCTCTCTCTGGTCTCTCTCTGGTCTCTCTCTGGTCTCTCTCTGGTCTCTGTCTGGTCTCTCTCTGGTCTCTGTCTGGTCTCTCTCTGGTCTCTCTCTGGCCTCTCTCTGGTCTCTCTCTGGTCTCTCTCTCTGGTCTCTCTCTGGTCTCTCTCTGGTCTCTCTCTGGTCTCTCTCTGGTCTCTCTCTGGTCTCTGTCTGGTCTCTCTCTGGTCTCTGTCTGGTCTCTCTCTGGTCTCTCTCTGGCCTCTCTCTGATCTCTCTCTGATCTCTCTCTGGTCTCTCTCTGGTCTCTCTCTGGTCTCTCTCTGGTCTCTCTCTAGTCTCTCTCTGGTCTCTCTCTTGTCTCTCTCTTGTCTCTCTCTGGTCTCTCTCTGGTCTCTCTCTGGTCTCTCTCTGGTCTCTCTCTGGTCTCTCTCTGGTCTCTCTCTGGTCTCTGTCTGGTCTCTCTCTGGTCTCTGTCTGGTCTCTCTCTGGTCTCTCTCTGGCCTCTCTCTGGCTCTCTCTGGTCTCTCTCTGGTCTCTCTCTCTGGTCTCTCTCTGGTCTCTCTCTGGTCTCTCTCTGGTCTCTCTCTGGTCTCTCTCTGGTCTCTCTCTGGTCTCTCTCTGGTCTCTGTCTGGTCTCTCTCTGGTCTCTGTCTGGTCTCTCTCTGGTCTCTCTCTGGCCTCTCTCTGGTCTCTCTCTGGTCTCTCTCTCTGGTCTCTCTCTGGTCTCTCTCTGGTCTCTCTCTGGTCTCTCTCTGGTCTCTCTCTGGTCTCTCTCCGGTCTCTCTCCGGTCTCTCTCCGGTCTCTCTCCGGTCTCTCACTGGTCTCTCACTGGTCTCTCTCTGGTCTCTCTCTGGTCTCTCACTGGTCTCTCTCTGGTCTCTCTCTGGTCTCTCTCTGGTCTCTCTCTGGTCTCTGTCTGGTCTCTCTCTGGTCTCTCTCTGGCCTCTCTCTGGTCTCTCTCTGGTCTCTCTCTCTGGTCTCTCTCTGGTCTCTCTCTGGTCTCTCTCCGGTCTCTCTCCGGTCTCTCTCCGGTCTCTCTCCGGTCTCTCACTGGTCTCTCACTGGTCTCTCTCTGGTCTCTCTCTGGTCTCTCACTGGTCTCTCTCTGGTCTCTCTCTAGTCTCTCTCTGGTCTCTCTCTGGTCTCTCTCTGGTCTCTCTCTAGTCTCTCTCTGGTCTCTCTCTGGTCTCTCTCTGGTCTCTCTCTAGTCTCTCTCTAGTCTCTCTCTAGTCTTTCTCTGGTCTCTCTCTGGTCTCTCTCTGGTCTCTCTCTGGTCTCTCTCTATGACATCTTTAGATTATCTTTTTCAGACAGAAAAGTGAGAGGACCACCCTCTTTCGACCAATCAGCTCTCAGCCCAAACAGTCCAAAAACATAACCTGTTTTCTAGTAAGATAAAGACAGTATGTTGTGGTCTGATTTAACTTTGACAAGACTCTTTCCGTGTGATAAACTACAGCTGTTATTTCTGAAGCTAAATTTACGTTCCCCAGCTTTAAACGCAGAGAGTGGAGAGAGTTTTACCTGTTTGTGACTCGGAGGAAGTCCAGAGTAAAATCCACCGGTGTTTGAGACGGACAGAAGGAGACGAGTGAGAGGAGAGACTTACACAGAGAGGATAAAGGGAGGGGGCGGAGTCAGGGGGAGGGGGCGGAGTCAGGGGAAGAGAGGCTCAGGCTGGCTGTCCATGTTCTCGTTCATCAGAGCCAAAATGTCCTCTGCTAAAGCTAGAGATTTTATTCTTGATTCTTTGTTTTACTAAAGTTACAGATTTTATATTTGTGAGTGTGCATTTGTGTGTGTGTGTGTGTTTGTGAGTGTGTGTTTGTGATTGTGTATTTGTGAGTGTGTGTTTGTGAGTGTGTGTTTGTGAGTGTATGCTTGAGAGCGTGTGTTTGTGAGTGTGCATTTGTGTGTGTTTTTGTGTGTGTACGTGAGTGTGCATTTGTGTGTGTGTGTTTGTGAGTGTGTGTTTGTGAGTGTGTGTTTGTGAGTATGTTTTGTGAGTGTGTGTGTTTGTGTGAGTGTGTGTTTGTGAGTGTGTGTTTGTTTGTGAGTGTGTGTTTGTGAGTGTGTGTGTGTGTGTGTGTGAGTGTGTGTGTTTGTGTGAGTCTGGTTTTGTGAGTGTGTGTGTTTGTGTGAGTGTGTGTTTGTGAGTGTGTGTGTGTGAGTGTGTGTGTGTTTGTGTGAGTGTGGTTTTGTGAGTGTGTGTGTTTGTGTGAGTGTGTGTTTGTGAGTGTGTGTGTGTGTGAGTGTATGTGTTTGTGTGAGTGTGGTTTTGTGAGTGTGTGTGTTTGTGTGAGTGTGTGTTTGTGAGTGTGTGTGTGTGAGTGTGTGTGTTTGTGTGAGTGTGTGTTTGTGAGTGTGTGTTTGTGAGTGTGTGTGTTTGTGTGAGTGTGTGTTTGTGAGTGTGTGTTTGTGAGTGTGCAACAATCTGATGTTTTCGCACAACTGCTGTTCCTTGATACACAGTGTTTTCCAACCAGAGGTCCGCGTACGTCAGTTTGCAGTGAGAAGCTGCTGTCACTTCATTGGTCAAAAACTGTGAAAAGAAATTATTTTTGTATAATTCTCTTTGATGAGAATGACTGCATTAGGAAGTGGTCGGTCTCAGTCTCAGTTCGGTCTCGGTTCGGTCTCGGTCTCAGTTCGGTCTCAGTCTCAGTTCGGTCTCAGTCTCAGTTCGGTCTCAGTCTCAGTTCGGTCTCAGTCTCAGTTCGGTCTCGGTCTCAGTTCGGTCTGGGTCTCAGTTCGGTCTCAGTCTCAGTTCGGTCTCAGTCTCAGTTCGGTCTCAGTTCGGTCTCGGTCTCAGTTCGGTCTCAGTCTCAGTTCGGTCTCAGTCTCAGTTCGGTCTCAGTTTGGTCTCGGTTTCTGTTCGGTCTCAGTCTCAGTTCGGTCTCGGCCTCAGTTCGGTCTCGGTCTCAGTTTGGTCCCAGTCTCAGTTCGGTCTCAGTCTCTGTTCAGTCTCAGTTCGGTCTCCGTCTCAGTTCGGTCTCACTAATGTCTCATTCTGAAAGTCTTGATCAGTTTAATTCAGTTAATTTTGTTTTTGTCCATCCATCCATCCATTTTCTACCCTTGAATCCATTTCTGGGTCAGGGGGGTGGCAGTCAGAGATGCCACCCAAGTCTCATAGCACCAGCCCCAATTTTGTTTTTGTATCGTCCTAAATCACTACAGTTTTTATCTGTGACAGAACTGTCGATTCCCAAACGCAGATCAGAGAATCAGACGTTCAGAGTAGACACCACTGGTCCATGACAGAGACTGATGTCCAGAAGTATCACTGTTGAAATGAGAGACCTCTGAGGGGCCCAGATCCAGATCCAGGGAGGGGCCCGCTCCCACAGACGGACTAGATCCAGGACTCAGGCTCAGAAAACACTGTGTAGATAAGTACACTCACCGCACGGTCTTGGTCCTGGTCCTGGTCTTTGTCTTGGTGCTGGTCCTGGTCCTCGTCCTGGTCTGTAATACTGAGCCACAGGGGGCGCTGTAGAGCTACATACATGAGCATAGAACTTTTTTCATGAGATTCTCTTGAGCTACCACTGCGGCCACAGCTGCCCTGGGACAGACTGATGGCTGATAACCAAAGCCCCCACAGGTCTGCGGCTCGGTCACACGTCCTTCATCAGAGACTTCAGGACATTCTTCTTCACGCAGTTTAACATTTCTGTGATAACATCAGAGTCGGTGAAGGTCACGATCCGAGTCTCACAAAGACTCCTTCATCGTCCACAACATTCAGAACATTCTCTTTAAGTGACATTCACCTTTATCAGGAGAGACCTGATGACCCCCAGGAGCCCAGGGGCCAGTGTCTGCTGAGGCCACAGGAGGGTCTGTCAGGGGCCTGAGTCCACTGAGACTAGGGTCTGTCAGGGGCCTGAGTCCACTGAGACTACAGGAGGGTCTGTCAGGGGCCTGAGTCCACTGAGACTAGGGTCTGTCAGGGGCCTGAGTCCACTGAGACTACAGGAGGGTCTGTCAGGGGCCTGAGTCCACTGAGACTACAGGAGGGTCTGTCAGGGGCCTGAGTCCGCTGAGACTACAGTAGGATCTGTCAGGGGCCTGAGTCCACTGAGACTACAGGAGGGTCTGTCAGGGGCCTGAGTCCGCTGAGACTACAGTAGGATCTGTCAGGGGCCTGAGTCCGCTGAGACTACAGTAGGATCTGTCAGGGGCCTGAGTCCACTGAGACTACAGGAGGGTCTGTCAGGGGCCTGAGTCCACTGAGACTACAGGAGGGTCTGTCAGGGGCCTGAGTCCACTGAGACTAGGGTCTGTCAGGGGCCTGAGTCCACTGAGACTAGGATCTGTCAGGGGCCTCAGTCCACTGAGACTGCAGTAGGGTCTGTCAGGGGCCTGAGTCCACTGAGACTACAGGAGGGTCTGTCAGGGGCCTGAGTCCGCTGAGACTACAGTAGGATCTGTCAGGGGCCTGAGTCCGCTGAGACTACAGGAGGGTCTGTCAGGGGCCTGAGTCCACTGAGACTAGGGTCTGTCAGGGACCTGAGTCCACTGAGACTACAGGAGGGTCTGTCAGGGGCCTGAGTCCACTGAGACTAGGGTCTGTCAGGGGCCTGAGTCCACTGAGACTAGGGTCTGTCAGGGGCCTGAGTCCACTGAGACTACAGGAGGGTCTGTCGGGGCCTGAGTCCACTGAGACTAGGGTCTGTCAGGGGCCTGAGTCCACTGAGACTACAGGAGGGTCTGTCAGGGGCCTGAGTCCACTGAGACTAGGGTCTGTCAGGGGCCTGAGTCCACTGAGACTACAGGAGGGTCTGTCGGGGGCCTGAGTCCACTGAGACTAGGGTCTGTCAGGGGCCTGAGTCCACTGAGACTGCAGTAGGGTCTGTCAGGGGCCTGAGTCCACTGAGACTAGGGTCTGTCAGGGGCCTGAGTCCACTGAGACTACAGTAGGGTCTGTCAGGGGCCTGAGTCCACTGAGACTAGGGTCTGTCAGGGGCCTCAGTCCACTGAGACTAAGGTCTGTCAGGGGCCTCAGTCCACTGAGACTAGGGTCTGTCAGGGGCCTCAGTCCACTGAGACTAAGGTCTGTCAGGGGCCTCAGTCCACTGAGACTGCAGTAGCGAACACAACAGAACCATCCTCTGCTCTCACTAATGTCATTAAAGAGTTTATTAATTGAGTTTCGATCATCGCTGCAGCACATGTGAGCTTTGTCTGTCCTCGGCCGTTATCCTCCTTTTCCCCGGGGCCTCACCCTGCCCCTCCCCCCTCCTCCCTTCAGCAGCGAAGGGGAGGGGGGTGTAAGAGAACCGTGAGACCGATGGATCAACTTTAAAATCGGTTATAATGAAACCCACGTCACTCACACCTCTCCGCGTGTCCAGCAGAGGGCGCCACTCACACAGATTGCGACACAGCTGGGCTCGTGTGAGGAAAAAAAGACACCGAAGCCGCGTGCGTCATGAAAATAATTTATTATATACGAGTTCAGACTGTGCTCGTCACCTTTAACAACATTCAACATTTATGCTAATCAGAATCATATTCACACTGATGAATGAATGGATCCAGACTCCTCACTCCCTGCAGTAAATCTCTTTAGAATTGGACTTTTTCGGTAAAATATATCTCTGAATACTCATTTATTATTTATTTATAATTTCTCTGACCCTGACACATTTGTATTTTAACTATTGCACCGCTGATAAAAGCTCTATTCTAAAATATTATATTATTTATGATTGAAAACATTGCACATTATTATAAAGCTGAATCAGAGAAGTTTGAGAACGTTTTTGGTGAAAAAACCATAAAAATCTCTGGTTCTGACGTCATAGATCGGTTGTGTGTTGTTAATAATTCTGTGTGGATTTGAATTGAAAGTAAAAAATATATCTAGAATCTGTCGTCAACATTTCAGGTCCGATTTTCGCTGTTTCACATGTGTACATTCATCAGCTCATCTCAGACCAAATACTTTACTCAAATGATGAAAAAATATGTGTAAAAATATGTTTGAAATGCTGTCTTTGATCTGGGATGTGGCTTTGTAACAGTCTGACACATTCACGCGCTGAGAAATGAAACACATGGAAAAGGATTCTTGATGAAATGTGGTTCAGGTTTAACTGTCGCTGTGAGATCAAAGAGTCCAGGAGTCTACAGCCTCAGTCCTGGGTCTACAGCCTCAGTCCTGGGTCTACAGCCTCAGTCATGGGTCTACAGCCTCAGTCCTGGATCTACAGCCTCAGTCCTGGGTCTACAGCCTCAGTCCTGGATCTACAGCCTCAGTCCTGGGTCTACAGCCTCAGTCCTGGATCTACAGCCTCAGTCCTGGATCTACAGCCTCAGTCCTGGGTCTATAGCCTCAGTCCTGGATCTACAGCCTCAGTCCTGATGGGTCTACAGCCTCAGTCCTGGGTCTATAGCCTCAGTCCTGGATCTACAGCCTCAGTCCTGATGGGTCTACAGCCTCAGTCCTGGGTCTACAGCCTCAGTCCTGGATCTACAGCTTCAGTCCTGATGGGTCTACAGCCTCAGTCCTGGGTCTACAGCCTCAGTCCTGGGTCCACAGCCTCAGTCCTGGTCTACAGCCTCAGTCCTGGACTCGCCTCTACACAGATGTGGCCTGTGACGGAGCCTGTGACACTTGTCTCCAGTGGAGAAGGAAAAGTTTCTGTGTTAAAAATGGCAGTTTTAGTGAATGCTGATGATGTTATGGAAATTATGTAAAAATAAGTTAAAGAAAAATGAAAACGAAATGAACTATGAACATTTTAATTTGGCAGTTTTTCAATGAGCAACAAAAATACAGTTTATGAAATGAAAATAAAATTGTCTAAATCACACGCACACACACACACACACACACACACACACACACACACACACACACACACACACACACACACACACACACACACACACACACACACACACACACACACACACACACACACACACACACACACACACACACACACACACACACACACACACACACACACACACACACACACACACACACACACCCTCTTTTGTCTCCTCCGGCTCGCCATAACTGCGGTTTGATTGGACAGAACTTGAATGTTAAAAGCTGCTGCTGATTGGCTGTCGGTGAGAGTGGCTTTTTGAGAAATTCAAATCACATATAATTCAACAAAAATATATTTTTAGCAACTGATCTGAGTGATTTTGGCACTTTGATTGGTGGCACTTTTTAGATGGACGTAAAACTTCAAAAGCCAAAAATCTAAATTATATATATATATATATATATAATTTAGATTTTTGTGCAGTGCAGTGGTAGGAACAGCAAAGATACTGCGCAGAACCCTCAAGCTCCCAGGCCTCTGGTAGAGGACCCGAGCTTAGAGAGGGATAACCGCCCACGGAGGGCCAAAGGCGAGTGGACAATTTTATATATATATATATATATATATAAAATTGATAATTCCATCCAACTTCTAAATGAACCTTTTGACTGACTCGATTTTTCCCATATCTCCTACTATGTGCAGTTTTGCCGTAGAAATGGCCTGTAATTTAAGTGAAATAATCAGTTGAATAGTAACAGTTTTGGTTAAACTGAAGCCATGTCTGTGTGGAAAAAGCAGCATTTAAAACCCAAACTCCACTCTGCACATCTGCGATCTCTGAACAGAAGGACGGGATTGCAGAAGTAATGTTTGTGACAAGGACAGATGCATTTTCTTATGTGGCCAACAGGGGGAGCAATAACTACCATAACAATGACAGTTCTGAGATAACGGTGAAAACGGCCTCAAAGAGAATAGACACTGGATCAATATTATTGACACCTAAATATTGTTCCATCCATGAGTTACTGAACAATAAACCGTCTTCTTGATCTTTTAAATTATATAAAAAAATCAATAATAAAATCAGAATATTACATAATGGGTCGTTGCATTTTAAGGGAATCATAGAATCATCTCCTGTTCATAAAGACAATAAAGTAGCATTTGAATTTGAGAAATAAACAATAAATAATAATAATACTAAAATCACTACCTCAATGCTAAAACAATATGGACTAGAGATTAAAGCGACAGAATCTGCTCTTAGAGGTCCAATAAAGTCTTTTCCAGAATCTTCTGTGGCACATGCAGCTTCTAAGCACTGAATACAGATGCAATCCATCTGCTGGGGTTCAGGTAGAAACAGTACAAACTCTATGTGTACTGTATATGTACAGGTGTAGGGCACTATTTCTGATTATCTGCTCGATCGTGTCCATTCTATTTTTGAATAAATAATAACTGTTTAAACTGGTCGACTGTGATGTGTGCATGAGAGCTGTTTTCTGGGGACTTGTGTTGACATTAGAATATAACGTACTTTATCTTGGTTAAAATGAAAAAGAACAGTTTTCAGAGTTCCTCCTTCTCCATTTCTGTCATTGCAACAGTTTTCTTAAGCCCACAAGCACCTGTAAGTGTGTTTACTATCTTTGATCCACTGCAGCAGTCCTGCCATCCCTTCACCCAACTGCTTTTTAATCTAACTTGAACAAGATTGTTTTAATCAGAGTGTGTTGGAATTTGTCAGAAACATAAAGTAAATAGATCTTAACCCCTGGATGAACTGGAGGAAGTGTGTGTGGATAGGAAAGTCTGGGCGTCTCCGCTTAGACTGCTGCCCCAACGACCCGGCAACGGATTAAGTGGAAGAAAATGGATGGATGGATCTTTACTTGTCACAAACTTCTGAAATCCTCATTTTTAAACAGCAGAGAAACACAGTGTTTTTGCAGTGCCAACTCAAACCTTGGTCCGTGGAGAGTTGGCGATTCGTCATTGGAGACTTGACGTGGATATAAAACCCTGTTGCACCAGACCTGCTTCATACATTCGCCTCCGAAACTCAGCAGGAACGGCTTTTCTACACGTCACCACAGTTAACACGTGTTTCGTCCCTCCGTAGATGCGATATATAGACTTTGTACAATATGCATTCAATAGGATTCCACAGACGATGGAACGTTTCGCGAAAAGAGTCTGAGGTCTTTGAGCGAGCCGTGGGAAAGTGCTTGCACTGGTTTGAGAGAATTCTTCCAAAACGATTTGAAAAACCAAAAAATGTGTGTCTTTGGCGCGAAAAGAAACATCCAAACAATATTATCCCCATGTCTGACATTGTAAATCCGCTTGTTGATCGCTGGGAATGCGGACACGAAAGAGTGATGAGGTCCTTGGTCACTTTTAGTTCCACCCACGCTTGGCACCATAAACAAGTCAAGTTTGTAAATGCATATATAGACTTTAATATACAATGCATTCAATAAGATTCAAATCAACGGGCGTCGGAAAGTGCTTTGCTCGGGAATGGTTCAAATCCCCCAAAAATTGTGTCTTTGGAGCACAACTAAAACTTCCCAATATCCTCTGGAGTAATTGTATATCCGGTCTTCTCAAGGAACTTAAAATCCTGGAATACTGGAATAGTGGTTTGGTCAGGTCCTTGGTCACTTGAGTTTCACAAATGCTTGGCAATTTCCAAATATTTATATCAAAGGGTTAGGGTTAGCGTCTCTTAGGGCTGGGGACAGGCCACATCACGTCCTGCTACAAGCTTCTCAACATCACTTCTGTGGATAAAAGGATCGTGACCTGGACCCAGTTTTCAGTATAGAGACATTTGGACTCCAGCTGTGAAGGTTCCCAACTCATATGCATCAGTTATTCCAATGTGGTCTCACTGCGAACATCTGAATCTGAATCTAAGTCCTTTTAATCATATTTTATCACAAATTTGTTTGAATAGTTAGTGTTTGTGTGACATCAGCACCTCCTAAAGAGCATATAGATTCTGGAAGGGAACGTCGTCATGTCTCTACGCTGAAAACTTTTGTTGTAGCTTCTTCTCCGACTGGATCACTCCTGGACGAAGGACGGATCACATGACTAATCCAAACTGGTTTGAAGTTGGTTTCAAGAATGTTTTGTGGAAAGTTGTGGTGACGTGGCCTGTCCCCACGAGCGCCCTGTGTGCTTTAGCCCAGTTAGCACCATTAGCATCCGTTAGCTTCCATTAGCCTCTGTTATCTACCGTTAGCATTAGTTAGCCTCCGTTAGCCTCCTTTAGATGCCTTTGTCAGCCTCCATCAGCTTCAATTAGAATTTGTTTGCTTCAGTCAGCCTACGTTAGCCTCCGTTAGTCTCTGTTAGCTTCCGTTAGCTTCTGTTAGCTCCCCCCTTCACTGGCTGCAGTTGCCGGTAGCATTTCCCTCTTCGCTGCTGAACTCGGCGCGTTTGGCAAGAGGGTTCGTGCTCCGCAGTAGCTCCGCGGCTGACACTCGTGCGGCCGTGGGCTTGGAACCTTTCTTCTGCAGCAGGGCCATGAAGTTCTCGTTCCTGGAGCTGGTGGAACGCTGCGTGGAGCTCAGGCCACACGACGACGAGCCTTTCACCGGAGACGAGAGGGTCTGGCGGCTGTAGAAGGATTCCCCCGGCTCCTTACGGCCCAGGACCCGCCGCTTCGACCTGGAAAAAGCTTAGTGCTATTATCACCGTATTCATAAGTTCATAATCATTGATGTTGGGTAAATGCCAGACCTGTGGATGATGGTGAACAGGTCTTCTGTGGTGTGAGGAGAGACATTCAAAACGTCCTCTGCTCCTTCTGTGATGCGCAGCTCTGTGACCTCAGCCGACGCACTCTCATCTGGAAACATTCAGTCATGTCCAGTTCAATTCAATTCAAATCAAAGTATTCTTGTATCGCCCTAAATTAGAGCCCTGCACGGGCCTATTATCTGGGCCCGAGCCCGGCCCTGGCCCGAGGGGGTGGCGCCCCAGCCCGGCCCGGCCCGATATGGTTTCTGAATTTTCAGGCCCGAAACCCGCATCAAGCCCGCCTTTTTTTTTTTTTTGTAACCTCCCATAACAATGTTTTAGCGTAGTATATAGTGCCGCGCACTGATATGAACGCAGACTTAGCTAGAGGGCGGAGTTATACATGGTAGTGATGTGTTGCAATGAGTTCTGTGTGTGCGGAGTGGTGCAGAGTGAACGGCCGCATCTGTATGATGCCCCCGATGCTGCAACACATCTGCACATTACATAAGTAACGCTATGTGCCGTCAATGACAACACTACACAGAACAACAAACACTACAGCGTGATAGAACGCTATATTCAGTGGGTGCGCTCGTAAATCTATTCTGCCGCTCTGAAAATGAAGAGCCCGAGCCCGGCCCGTGTCCGAGGTCATTATGCGGTCATCGGCCCGGGCTGTCGGGCCGTCGGGGCCCTCGGGCCAAGGGCTCAAGTGCAGGGCTCTACCCTAAATCACAACAGTAGATATCTCGGAGGACTTTACAAAGACAATGAATTCGCCAACACAGATCAGAGAATTTTTACACATTTACACATAAGCAAAGGAACCAGGGCTTGGCTTTGGGTCAATAAAATGGCGAAAGTGTGACAGCAGCATAATATAGCGACAGTCGTCAAAACTGCAACAGCGTTTTGCCCCTTTTTATCTATTCTCTTTTGCTCCCCGCACCCACGAAGCTATCTCCCCCCACACACACCCACTGTTGTTTACGGAGCTAGCGTCTAACAATATGGATAGATCCATGTATCGTACATTTGAGTGTGAATGGCGTGACCATAGAACGATAGAACCGGGAAGCACGGAGGAACGGGGCTTTCTTTTGGATGGCTGTTTCGCTAAGTAAGCAGTAACCGGTGACGAAGACACGAAGCTTCAGGTTAGCCTCCGCCGCTTGTTGTGCTAACTCAGCTGTCTGTGCTAACGACGGACCTGTAGATTTCTCAAGAAAGTGGGGGCTAGTGGTGCGCTGTGATTGGTCACAAACTCGATCTAAAATACAATGTCACACCAGCACAACCCTGCGCTACTTTTTGTTCAAAAGGACAAAATCCCAATGCACTGCATGGACATGGATAGAACTTTTGTAATGAATACAAATATAAAGTCAGTTAGTGCAGCTTTAAGGCAAACACCATGTATGACGTCAGCACTTGGTTAGTCCACTCCTGGTACACGGCCCATGGTTTAATGGGCTGTCTCCTCTCGGCTTTCACTCACCTGCTGTGACGTCAGTGGCGGCCATGTTGTGGGGGGCCTCCCGCTCCTCCTCTTCCTCTTGGCTCTCCCATGGGTGGTGCTCTGCTGAAGGCTCGGGGACAAAGGGGATTGGGTCTGGGACAAGGATTTCTACTGGATCTGGGACTGGGGCTGGGTCTTGGACAGGGGCGTATGGGACTGGGTCTCGGGCATATGGGACTGGGTCTGGGGCATATGGGACTGGGTCTGGGGCATATGGGACTGGGTCTGGAACACATGGGACTGGGGCTTGCGGCGTGGTGGGTCTATCCTCAGGCACAGCACTCGTGGAACTGTCTGTGCGTTCGCTACTGCCTCCGTTGGTGAATGTGGGAATGACACATCTGGGTTTCTTGGGGACGGGAGGCGGGACCTGGAGACAGATTGACAGGACATAAGCATCCTGCGACACAAGTGACTCTGAGTATTAAACTAAAATGGCGTAAATGTTTCTGTTTCCAAAGCTCGTGTGAAACCAGATCGCAATCCAAGTCCATTTTAATTATATAGAACCAGACTTATGCTGTGATTGAGGTGTGAAATACCAGTCGGTTTGGTGTAACTGGATGTAACCATTTCTACTACGTTTAGGCTGCATGTAACCGCGGAAACCGGATTTTACTGACACAAGGCCAGCAGATGCATTTGAGAGTCTCCGGTCTCTCTCTACTATCTCTCTCGAGTCTCTGCTCTCTCTCTGCTCTTTCTCTGCTCTCTCTCATCTCTCTCTCTGCTCTCTCTTTGGTCTCTCTCTGCTCTCTCTCTGGTCTCTCTCTGGTCTCTCTCTGGTCTCTCTCTGGTCTCTCTCTGGTCTCTCTCTGCTCTCTCTCTGCTCTCTCTCTGCTCTCTCTCTGGTCTCTCTGGTCTCTCTCTGGTCTCTCTCTGACAAAAAGTGTGTTCTACAGTATATATGAGACATTTGATTACAAAGTGTGGGAGCTGAGGCAAAGTTACAAGACGCCTTTGAAAGCAGCACTAGGCTCTATCTGCCCGGTGAGTGCAAACCGGACCAGTGGTTGTACTGTGTTAGAATGTGAATTATTATTTATATTATTTATCCTCAATAGAAAACATTATGTGAAACAAGTATGAAGGGTAATGGTTGTTGTTTTTACACATTTTGTTTAAACAAATTTTAAAATACTATGAAATTAACATGGTAATATAAAGTATGGGCAATACTTTTGTTATGTCCAAACATTTTTGTCCATGGAGACTGGACCTTACTGGGAGTTACTCAGTGTATCTCTCTCTCACCTTGGGCTTCTTCCGGTCCTCCGCTCCGCACACGTTTCCTCGGGGTGGGGGCAGTGTCGTGCTGTGGTCCCGTAGCCCCTCCCCCTCGGGCAGTGGCGGCAGGTCGTAGAGCACACACACGTCTTCGGGGGTGGCCTGCGCTGTGGTCTTCTTCACTTTGGGCTTCCTCATGACCTTGTAGATGTTCCCGAGCGGGACGGGTCGGTGCAGGGGCGAGGTGGGCGGGGACTCGTGGAGAGGGGTGGGGCTTGGGGGCGGGTCCAGGGTCAGGTCTGTGGAGGGCGAGGAGATGGGCAGAGTCAGGTCTGCGGAGGGCGAGTTCTTCAGCTGCAGACACACGGGGCGTTTGGGCAGTGGCGGCTTTGGTGCGACCCGCGGTTTGGGAAGCGTGGGCGGAGGGCTGTGACCTGCAGAGAGAGAAATATACAACTCGACTTTAGACGAAACATGTTAGATTGTCCAATAAAGGTGTTTTATCTGTTCATCCACCAGTTCTCAAATGCAGATTAGGTGTTATTACAATCTCACTTGGTCTGGTCTGGCGGTAACACCAGAGCCTCATTCAGACTGTGTGGTTCCTAACTTTGTCTTTTGGACCGTGCACCTTTTCCCCTAATAAAGCCGGTCTTCCCACTGAGCTACTGTACGACTGCGAACAGACTTAGACTTTTTATAATGTACATATATTTTACATTTTTGCATTTATGTCATAACAGCCTCCTATGGACAAGGGTTAAAAATGTGCATGGTCTTTCTGTAACCCTAAAGGCATCTGGTCTGCCCAACGTAACTGTTGTGTCCATATCAAATAAATAATAAACAATAAACAATAAATAAGTACTTTATTGTTTTGGTTTCTGGACATTTATAGAAGAAATGTTAAGAAAAGTTAAGAAACTTCCACTATTTTTTAACCGTTAATAAAACAGATATCCTTCAATTGCAAGCATAGAGGGGGTGGGGCTTAGTGAAAAAGATTAATGGACAGTGGTACTTGGTTATAGTAAGGACTTTAGTGCGTACCATGTGAGGGCTGGTCGGCTCCCTGCTCCTCGTCGATGGTGTCCGATGCTCCGTCGGGACAGTCCTCTCCGCGGGACACTGACCGCAGACGCACACTGCTCAGCTCGTTCACCAGAGACGAACTCGGGCTCAGCTTCCCCCCGGGCTTCTCACTGGTGTCTGAGTGCTGATGGGGAAACGGAACAATATATGGTCAATGTACCAGATTTGACTATTGACTGTTTCATAAATACCTATCCTCATGGTACCTCATGGTTTCCTCATGGTACCTAACCCCAAACCCAGACTTCACCCATCACTGGCATCCTTGTTTCTGGACAGGCCATTCCTCTCTCAACCTCTATCTAACCCAGGACTTAAACTTGACACACACATCTCCTTTGACCACCATATCCGTCGCCTCTCTAAAGTCTCCTTCCGCCAAACATTGCAAAAATCGCCCCCATCCCTTTCCGAACCGGATTCAGAAAAACTGGTCTCCTCGTTGGGATCCCTGCCAAGAGCCTGCATAAGCTCCAGCACATACAGAACTGTGTAGCTTGGGCCCTGATGAGGAGGCGCAAATCCAATACAAACTCTGTCACACACCGGTGAATCCATGCCTACCTCACAGAGCTCCTTGCCCCACACACCATCTCACGCCGCCTTTGCTTGACCTCCACCCACTGTCTCCACCAGCCCAGGTCTGAGCTCTCCACCCACTGTCTCCACCAGCCCAGGTCTAAGCTCTCCACCCACTGTCTCCACCAGCCCAGGTCTAAGCTCTCCACCCACTGTCTCAACCAGCCCAGGTCTGAGCTCTCCACCCACTGTCTCCACCAGCCCAGGTCTAAGCTCTCCACCCACTGTCTCCACCAGCCCAGGTCTAAGCTCTCCACCCACTGTCTCCACCAGCCCAGGTCTAAGCTCTCCACCCACTGTCTCCACCAGCCCAGGTCTGAGCTCTCCACCCACTGTCTCCACCAGCCCAGGTCTAAGCTCTCCACCCACTGTCTCCACCAGCCCAGGTCTAAGCTCTCCACCCACTGTCTCCACCACCCGGCTCTCCACCATGTTTGAGCCTATTGGGGATTTTATGAGCTTTTAAGCCCTTCATGTTTCTTGATATTGGATGTACTTTTGATGCTGTTTTTATTTCTTGTTTGTTATATTGTATTTTTTAATCTGTTGCAAAAAGTAAATGAATAAAAAAGATTATCATTCATATTTTTTTCAATGTGCAAATATTAGGGGTTGCATAGTTATCAACATGGAATGGAGCTGCGTGTGGCGCGGATCTTCGTACCGAGTGGCGGCGGTTGACCCTCTCCCTCGGCTTCAGTGCGGACAGCTCTGTGTGTGCGTTCCCCGGCATCTCGAAGGACAGCCGTGAGCGTGGGTCCTTGGGTGACGGCAGCGATGACTTCCTCTCTGGGATCTTGGGTCTGAGCCTGGCCCCGCCGCTGGGGTGCGGAGCCGTGGGCGTGGGGGCCTCCGATTGGCTGGAATATCCGCTGGAGGGCGACATGACTCCGTGCGGCCTGTAGATGGCGCTGTGCTCGACCTCGGCGGACACCATCGCGGGGGAAGCGGCTCGGGAGGTGGAGGGCGAGTCGGAGATGGGCTTTGGACACTCGATCACCGTGGCAACAGTCGCTGAGCTCGACCCAGAGAGAGACCTGTGGGAGAGAGAGAGCTCTTCTCATGGTGTGTCCAGTCTCCCAGGGCAGTCAATTGGACGGCTTTTCCTTGTCAGTGTAATTACTCTGTTTATATTAAATTTGTGGTTTTCATAACTTTGTGACTTTTTCTGTTTCTATATGTAGTTTATTTGTAATTATGTTCATGAAATTACCTCGACCCAAGACTGGTTCTACACTGGTCCTAGACCGGTCCTACAAGGGTCCTACACTGGTCCTAGACTGGTCATGCACGGGTCCTAGACTGGTCCTACACTGGTCCTAGACTGGTCCTACACTGGTCCTATACTGGTCCTAGACTGGTCCTAGACTGGTTCTACACTGGTCCTAGACTGGTCCTAGACTGGTCCTACACTGGTTCTAGACTGGTCCTATACTGGTCTTAGACTGGTCCTACACTTGTCCTACAATGGTCCTATACTGGTTCTACACTGGTCCTAGACTGGTCCTAGACTGGTCCTACACTGGTTCTAGACTGGTCCTATACTGGTCTTAGACTGGTCCTACACTGGTCTTACACTTGTTCTAAACTGGTCCTAGACTGGTCCTATACTGGCCTTAGACTGGTCCTACACTGGTCTTAGATTGGTCCTACACTGGTCTTGCACTGGTCCTCGACTAGTCCTAGACTGATCCTACACTGGTCTTTGACTAGTCACACACTGGTCCTTCAGTGGTCCTAGACCGGTCCTATCCTAGCCCTACACTGGTTCTAGACTGATCCTACACTGGTTCAGAGCCATCTCAGCTCGGAGCTAGTGCATGTAACCATAGCAACACACTGTTTACTACATTTTGTAGTTTGTTTTGCTGTATTTCATTTATATTTACCAGTTTTAGTATTTATTAAAGATAAAAACTGTATTTTTTGAGGATTTTTTCAGAATTCTGCAAGTTTTCAGGGTTGAAACACCGGTTGAATAGTGTGTTGTGCCCAGTCTCACCTGTAGGGGTCGTTGTGGCTCCTCCAGTCCCTGATCTGCCAGTGCCTGTACTCTGGCGCCCCCTCCTGGTCCGGCGCATGTATCTCCAGACTTGGCGGTCGCTCTGGTCTTCGGTCTTCTCCGTCTCCTCGCCTGTTCTTGTAGCTGGAGCTCTGCGTCAGGAAGTCTGGGCTGAAGTCTGCGTCCCGAGGAATGTGGAGGCTTTTGGGCCGACCGTCCCGGTACAGACCCCTGCCACGAACACGGACCAGGACCAGAACCAGAACCAGGTCCAGGACCAGGACACAAGAACACAGAAGACCAGAACATCAGCTTCCACAGAAACTAAACCTGTAACGCTGTATCCAATAGTGGTGGGTTGGAGATTGTTTCTGTTCAGTATTGTGATATTTTTGGCTGGCAATTAAATCGATACAGAAGAGCAAAGTATTGTGATATTTAATTAAATAGATATCAATTTTACTTTTGTGTTTTCTAGGAGTTTTCTCTGGTAATTTTGATCCAGGTTTACAATACAATACAATTTATGTTACAGCTTGTTGTGACTCTATGACGTCTGCTTCCCACTCCTAGTGTCCAAGACAACTTTCCATCACAGCCTGATATTTCATCAACATCATGGTAGTTATGGTGAGTGATGGTCACCGCCTGCTGCACGGATTAAGTTTTTTCCTTTGGTTCCAATCACTTGAAAAGTCAACTACTCTCGTTAACTAACCGTGTTAGTTTTAAGCTTAAACATCTGTGATTTTACCTTCTATGATCCAAACCCTTCCTGCTTGTTTCAGAGTCTTCTCTCTCCAAGTTTGACTTCAGTTGCAAAAACTGAGACAGAGAGAGTAGCTCCCATTTTTGAAATATGAGTACGTTTATCTATTCAAGGTGCTGGTTCTAGACTGGTTCAAGACCGGCTCTAGACTGAGTCTGAGTCAGTTGATTTTCCTTTCAACAAACAGTTTTTTGATGTTGCTGTATTTCAAGTTATATTCACGAGTTCTAGCACTTATTAAAAGTGAGTAAACACATTACTTTTAAGAAAATAATTTTTTTCAGAATTTCAGTGATTTGAATGAGAAAAAACTGCTCTGGAGCCCGAGTGTTAAAACAGCACAGCTGCATAAAAATCATGATGTTTTTCATGTTTAAAGCTCAAAAGGATATTTCATAAACAGTCGGTGATCATTCTGCAGAACAAGCTTCTAGACTCTCTCGCGTCATGTGTCCAGCGCACTCACCTGTGTCCGTGATGCGAGCGCTCGTCTGCGTCGCCGAGGTTCTTCATCAGCGACACGCTCCTCACCGGCGGTGGAGGTTTGCGTTTGGACTTACGCAGAGAAATGGACCGCGAGCGAAGCCTCTGCAGGCGCGCCTCGCTGCTGTAGTCCGACACGGTGTCCGCCGTGCTGCCACTGTCCTCCGAGCTGCCGCTGGGCGGATACAGCAGCGCGTAGTTCTCGCACTGGAACGCGTCGTGCCGCTGCTCGCTCACGCCGTTCGCCGGAGTGCGCGTGTCGAACCCAAACGAGTCCGAGTCCGTGGGCGTGGACAGGGAGCGCTCCCGGAACTTGAACGCGTTGGCGGCGGCAATGGAGCGTGCGGATCGGGCGCGCGGTGCGGCGTTAGCTCCGGGCTCGTGTGCCAGCGCACGCACGCAGCCGTCGATGACCGTGTGCTGCTTGGGGGGCACCGCAGGGCCCCTGGGAGCCACCACGGGGGGCTTAGCGGCTGAGGGGTGCGCGTACGGCTCGGTCCAGGCGCTGGGGGAGAACGTGGAGCCTTTGGGGCCGTTCCAGGCGCAGAGGAGAGCGGCGTGGTCCATGGTGACGGGCGAGGAGTCCGAGAGCCGCTGGTTTGAGGCGTCTGCTGTAAACAAAAGGAAATGTTCAGAAATAAATATGATGAAGAAATACAGAAAGGTTGTGTGTCCATGACTTAAAGGAGACGTGTCTTCTCCATGTTCCAACATTGTGCCTCATGAGTCATTGACCTGGAGTTGTTTTTCATATCCGTCCATGCTAATATCAGAACCATAGACGTGCACAGGACCATAGACGTGCACAGGACCATAGACGTGCACAGGACCATAGACGCGCACAGGACCATAGACGTGCACAGGACCATAGACGTGCACAGGACCATAGACGCGCACAGAACCATAGACGTGCACAGGACCATAGACGCGCACAGAACCATAGACGTGCACAGGACCATAGACGCGCACAGAACCATAGACGTGCACAGGACCATAGACGCGCACAGGACCATAGACGTGCACAGGACCATAGACGTGCACAGAACCATAGACGTGCACAGGACCATAGACGTGCACAGAACCATAGACGTGCACAGGACCATAGACGTGCACAGGACCATAGACGTGCACAGGACCATAGACGTGCACAGGACCATAGACGTGCACAGGACCATAGACGTGCACAGGACCATAGACGTGCACAGGACCATAGACGTGCACAGGACCATAGACGTGCACAGGACCATAGACGTGCACAGGACCATTCTCGGCTTGTTGCAGGTGCGTGTCTGTGTGTAACCTGTGCACGCAATAAATACACTGCTGCAAGAAACAGAGCTGGATTATGGAGCCTCAGGGAGTCTCCATGTTTCCCCAGTGTCTCCTCCACAAGCACAACTAAAACTCGCTAAATTAAAGCTGAGGTACCTACATTTTCCCTTGCATTAACAATGTCTGTTGGTTTGTGCCCAAACGTAAAATTCTGTGAACAAATCAAACAGAACAAACAACAACAGGCTTCTTGTTTTGATTTTGTTGTTGTTATACTTAAAGAAGCAGTATGTAAAAATCTGGCCAAAAGTGGTACTGCAGCCTCTCCCACTCTCAATTAGAGCCCTGCACGGGCCTATTATCTGGGCCCGAGCCCGGCCCTGGCCCGAGGGGGTGGCGCCCCAGCCCAGCCCGGCCCGATATGGTTTTTGAATTTTCAGGCTTGAAACCCGCATCAAGCCCGACTTTTGTTTTGTTTTTGTAACCTCCCATAACAATGTTTCAGCGTAGTATATAGTGCCCAAGCCCCGGCGATCCAAGATGGCGTCCTATTCAAATGAATGGTTGTGCTCAGTGGCGCTTTGTGACGGCATGGGGGCTGAAAGATTAGCGGAAGTTGCCTGAAACTCGCAAAGATCTATGGGAAACTCTTCTGTATTTGGGCATCGTCTGGTCCTCCCGGTTCTGTGCAGTGGATGATCTCCCATAATGCGTTGCACCAAACACTCGTGTGTGGGTCTCACACCGGGTCTCACGCACGTGCACAGAGGGGCTCGGCCGCGCTCTGACCAATCAGAGCAGTTCATCAGAGCGGGAGTTAGAGCGAGAGCCAGACGAGCAGAGTTTGTGGCACTAAAGTGTGGATTTAAAGAAAACCGAAGGATTTAAGAAGAAAAAAAGTTCAGGATGACAAGGGACACTAAAATCCCCACAAAATCCGACCTTTATTAAAGCTGGAGGTCGAGCTGTTTTAATATGCATTGAGTTCTATGGGGAAAATTTCTGGGTGGCCCACGTGAATTTAGTCTGGTTCAGTCTGCAGTAACGCGAGAATCCCCTGAGCACATGAGTTATTCAGCTACAAGCTAGTAATACCCTATCCAGTTATTATAATAGATCCATGATAGTGCCGCGCACTGATATGAACGCAGACTTAGCTAGAGGGCGGAGTTATACATGGTAGTGATGTGTTGCAATGAGTTCTGTGTGTCCGGAGTGAACGGCTGCATCTGTATGATGCCCAGATGCTGCAACACACTTGTAAGTAACGCTATGTGCCGTCAATGACAACACTACACAGAACAACAAACACTACAGCGTGATAGAACGCTATATTCAGTAAATGTAATCTGCCGCTCTGAAAATGAAGAGCCCAAGCCCGGCCCGTGTCCGAGGTCATTATGCGGTCATCGGCCCGAAGCCCGGCCCTCGGGCCGTCGGGGCCCTCGGGCCAAGGGCTCAAGTGCAGGGCTCTACTCTCAATGACTCAGTTTGCCAGATACAATGCAGACGAATCCAGCTGGGACCATTATAATAATATAACTAAATAGACAAGAGTTTTGTCAACAACAAATCTATAACCAACACCTTTCACGAAGGCTTCGATAGAAATTCGCGTTTTGTCGTTAATGATTTGAGAATCATAACGGCCACACGGTACTTTACCAGTGAGATTAGCTCGACACGGTGAGTTCTGTCAACCCGGATCACAGACTTTCTGATTGGTGAAATGATGGAGGGCGGGACATCGAAAAGAAAACAATAACAAGATTTATGGGCTGTAAAACTAATTTTGAAATTCAAATATCTCTGAACTACTGTTATCAGTGAAAGAAGTATTGGAAAAGAACATGTTAATTAATGCCTTTGACAGATTTGATGATCACTTGACATGAATTTCTTACATATACGTAGCTACTTTAAGAAAGAGACCTATGAGTCATTATTTGACTTTTTGGGCCGAGAGTGGATTATTTGAGCCGGTCTAAACTTTGGCATCGAAAAGAAGAATAAAAAGTATAAAGAAGTATAAAATCTTGATTAAGAAGCACACGACAAATGGGGTGAGAACCAAACTCCATCTCCAGGTCCTCACCTGAGTAGCTCACTGAAAAAGTGATGTGCCCTCCTGATTATTGTTATATACTCTGCATGTGAGTACAATCAAATGCAATTCTGTGCAATAACAGAGGCACATGTGACGTGTGAGAATGCTGCGTTCTCATTGGTGAACTCACTGCTCAGAGACGTCTCCAGGTCGGAATGGCTCTTCCTCAGCGGCTCCCCCTGGTGGTGCGTCTGCGTGACGGGCTCCAGCGAGTGGGGGTGGGTGGGGGAGGGGCGGGGCTCAGAGGGGGAGGGGCAGGTGGAGTGTTGGAGCAGGTCGACGCCGTGGAACCGCCGTCCTCCGGTCTCTCCTGGAACACAAACGCAAACTGTTTTCTAGGTCGCTGCTCACATGTGGGTCACAGTAAAGAAGGGTCTAAAACTATACACAAGTACCAAGAGGGAAAAAACACTTGTAATAACAACGACAGCGTGACGAGCCGTAGAGCCGTGTTTGGGTGAGTGAAGCTCTTACCGTCAAAAATGTTGGAACGTGTCTATATTGTGCCACGTGGATGAGAAACTTGCCGTAGTCTTTAATAATGTGATTCTCTGGTCTCTCTCTGGTCTCACTCTGGTCTGTCTCTGGTCTCTCTCTGGTCTCACTCTGGTCTGTCTCTGGTCTCTCTCTGGTCTCTCTCTGGTCTACCTCTGGTCTACCTCTGGTATGTCTCTGGTCTCTCTCTGGTCTGTCTCTGGTTTCTCTCTAGTCTCTCTCTGGTCTCTCTCTGGTCTCTCTCTAGTCTCTCTCTGGTCTCTCTTTGGTCTCTCTCGGGTCTCAGTCTTTAGTCTCTCTGGTCTCTCCCTGGTCTCTCTCTAAAAAGGTGAAAACTTTTGATTTTCAACAACTTTCTTTCGATAGCTACATATAAATCGGCTTCACAATATCAAATATGAGTTTAAAGCTCGGGTACATTACTTTCAAACCACAAATCTGAAATATATAATAAAATCCATGTCATGAGTTCCTGTGAAACCAGCCCATGTTTGTGAACGGGCCCCATGCAAACACACTGTTCCTGCTCCTCCCTCTGGTCTCTCTCTCTCTCTCTTTGGTCTCACTCTTTGGTCTCACTCTTGTGTCTCTCTCTAGTCTCTGGTCTCGCTCTGGTCTCTCTCCCTCTCTCTCTTTCTCTTTCTGGTCTCTGTCTGGTCTGTCCCTGTTTTTTCTCTCCCTCTCTCAAGTCTCTTCCTGATCTCACTCTTTAGTCTCTCTGGTCTCTCTCTGGTCTCTCTCCCAAACCCCTCTCTCTCTCTAGTCTCTCTCGAGTCTCGCTCTGGTCTCTCTAAAAATGTGAAAACTTGTGACAGAAAAGTGAAAAAGAGAGGACCAGCCTCACTCGGCCAATAAGCTCTCATCCCAAAGAGTCCAATAGTGACTCTTTGGGTCACTTTGTTCACAACATTCTACTTCTCCTGTGTATGACATGTGCCATTTCTGAGGCTAAAGTTACGTAGCTCAGCTTTAACACGTGTCTCATTGATGCAAAACCAGCCCCTGTTTGTGAATGGGCCTCATGCAGACACTGTTCCTGCTTCTCTCTCTCTCTCTCTCTCTCTCTCTCTCTCTCTCTCTCTCTCTCTCTCTCTCTCTCTCTCTCTCTCTCTCTCTCTCTCTCTCTCTCCTCTCTCTCTCTCTCTCTCTCTCTCTCTCTCTCTCTCTCTCTCTCTCTCTCTCTCTCTCTCTCTCTCTCTCTCTCTCTCTCTCTCTCTCTCTCTCTCTCTCTCTCTCTCTCTCTCTTTTATCTTGGCTTGTTTTTTTTCTCGTGTGTTATTTTTGGGAGAAGAGTAGAGTGTTGCCATGGTGACAGGACCAGTTCTGCTCTCGCCGTGGGTTGCCAGGTCCACGGCGTCTTTGAGCGAGTTGGGGAGCAATTATCCACACAGAGAAGGTCCGTGGGCGCTCGCTGCCTTCACTTATGACGCCGTCTTGAGAAATGTCAATGTTTTTAATGGATCATATTCAGAAAAAACTCACATCTCTTTCCAACACTGCTGCTCATCAGAAAAAAGACCTGGAGTTGTGTTTAGCTCCACCTCAGACTACAAGATTAATCACAATCAAATAGAAATAGCATTTTTAACAAATGTACTTGACAAATCTCAAATACTGCTGTTGTTTAAAGCTGCCATCAGAGCCAAAATGTCCTGGGGCAGCTTGATAATAGACCTAATATCTACAGTCTATGCTTCAAGTAGTTCATCAGAGCCAAAATGTCCTGGGGCAGCTTGATAATAGACCTAATATCTACAGTCTATGCTTCAAGTAGTTCATCAGAGCCAAAATGTCCTGTCCTCAGCTTCTGTCCATGCTGTGGTAGTTTTCTAGAGACCATAGAGAGACCATAGAGAGACCATAGAGAGACCATAGAGAGATCATAGAGAGACAATAGAGAGAGAATAGAGAGACCATAGAGAGAGAATAGAGAGACCATAGAGAGAGAATAGAGAGACCATAGAGAGAGCATAGAGAGACCATAGAGAGATCATAGAGAGACAATAGAGAGACCATAGAGAGACCATAGAGAGATCATAGAGAGACAATAGAGAGACCATAGAGAGACCATAGAGAGACCATAGAGAGACAATAGAGACACCATAGAGAGACCATAGAGAGACCATAGAGAGAGAGACAATAGAGAGACATAGAGAGACCATAGAGAGACAATAGAGAGACCATAGAGAAACCATAGAGAGAGCATAGAGAGATCATAGAGAAACCATAGAGAGACCATAGAGAGATCATAGAGAACACCACAGAGAGACAATAGAGAGACCGAGAGACCATAGAGAGACCATAGAGAGACCATAGAGAGACCAGAGAGAGACAAGAGAGACCAGAGAGAGACCAGAGAGAGACCAGAGAGAGACCAGAGAGAGAGAGAGACCAGAGAGAGACCAGAGAGAGACCAGAGAGAGACCCAGAGAGAGACCAGAGAGAGACCAGAGAGAGACCAGAGAGAGAGACCAGAGAGAGACCAGAGAGAGACCAGAGAGAGACCAGAGAGAGACCAGAGAGAGACCAGAGAGAGACCAGAGAGAGACCAGAGAGAGACCAGAGAGAGACCAGAGAGAGACCAGAGAGAGACCAGAGAGAGAGACCAGAGAGAGACCAGAGAGAGAGACAGAGAGAGACCAGAGAGAGACAAGAGAGAGACCATAGAGAGACCAGAGAGAGACAATAGAGAGACCATAGAGAGACCATAGAGAGACCATAGAGAGACCATAGAGAGACCATAGAGAGATCATAGAGAGACAATAGAGAGACCATAGAGAGCATAGAGAGACCATAGAGAGATCATAGAGAGACCAGAGAGAGACCAGAGAGAGACCAGAGAGAGACCAGAGAGAGACCAGAAGACCAGGAGAGACCAGAGAGAGACCAGAGAGAGACCAGAGAGAGACCAGAGAGAGACCAGAGAGAGAGACCAGAGAGAGACCAGAGAGAGACCAGAGAGAGACCAGAGAGAGACCAGAGAGAGACCAGAGAGAGACCAGAGAGAGACCAGAGAGAGAGACCAGAGAGAGACCAGAGAGAGACCAGAGAGAGACCAGAGAGAGACCATAGAGAGACCAGAGAGAGACCAGAGAGAGACCAGAGAGAGACCAGAGAGAGACCAGAGAGAGACCAGAGAGAGCCAGAGAGAGACCAGAGAGAGACCAGAGAGAGACCAGAGAGAGACCAGAGAGAGACCAGAGAGAGACCAGAGAGAGACCAGAGAGAGACCAGAGAGAGACCAGAGAGAGACCAGAGAGAGACCAGAGAGAGACCAGAGAGAGACCAGAGAGAGACCAGAGAGAGACCAGAGAGAGACCAGAGAGAGACCAGAGAGAGACCAGAGAGAGACCAGAGAGAGAGACCAGAGAGAGAACCAGAGAGAGACCAGAGAGAGACCAGAGAGAGACCAGAGAGAGACCAGAGAGAGACCAGAGAGAGACCAGAGAGAGACCAGAGAGAGAGACCAGAGAGAGACCAGAGAGAGAGACCAGAGAGAGACCAGAGAGAGACCAGAGAGAGACCAGAGAGAGACCAGAGAGAGACCAGAGAGAGACCAGAGAGAGACCAGAGAGAGACCAGAGAGAGACCAGAGAGAGACCAGAGAGAGACCAGAGAGAGACCAGAGAGAGACCAGAGAGAGACCAGAGAGAGACCAGAGAGAGACCAGAGAGAGACCAGAGAGAGACCAGAGAGAGACCAGAGAGAGACCAGAGAGAGACCAGAGAGAGACCAGAGAGAGACCAGAGAGAGACCAGAGAGAGACCAGAGAGAGACCAGAGAGAGACCAGAGAGAGACCAGAGAGAGACCAGAGAGAGACCAGAGAGAGACCAGAGAGAGACCAGAGAGAGACCAGAGAGAGACCAGAGAGAGACCAGAGAGAGACCAGAGAGAGACCAGAGAGAGAGACCAGAGAGAGACCAGAGAGAGACCAGAGAGAGACCAGAGAGAGACCAGAGAGAGACCAGAGAGAGACCAGAGAGAGACCAGAGAGAGACCAGAGAGAGACCAGAGAGAGACCAGAGACCAGAGAGAGACCAGAGAGAGACCAGAGAGAGACCAGAGAGAGACCAGAGAGAGACCAGAGAGAGACCAGAGAGAGACCAGAGAGAGACCAGAGAGAGACCAAGAGAGACCAGAGAGAGACCAGAGAGAGACCAGAGAGAGAGACCAGAGAGAGACCAGAGAGACCAGAGAGAGACCAGAGAGAGACCAGAGAGAGACCAGAGAGAGACCAGAGAGAGACCAGAGAGAGACCAGAGAGAGACCAGAGAGAGACCAGAGAGAGACCAGAGAGAGACCAGAGAGAGACCAGAGAGAGAGACCAGAGAGAGACCAGAGAGAGACCAGAGAGAGACCAGAGAGAGACCAGAGAGAGACCAGAGAGAGACAGAGAGAGACCAGAGAGAGACCAGAGAGAGACCAGAGAGAGAGACCAGAGAGAGACCAGAGAGAGACCAGAGAGAGACCAGAGAGAGACCAGAGAGAGACCAGAGAGAGACCAGAGAGAGACCAGAGAGAGACCAGAGAGAGACCAGAGAGAGACCAGAGAGAGACCAGAGAGAGACCAGAGAGAGACCAGAGAGAGACCAGAGAGAGACCAGAGAGAGACCAGAGAGAGAGACCAGAGAGAGACCAGAGAGAGACCAGAGAGAGACCAGAGAGAGCCAGAGAGAGACCAGAGAGAGACCAGAGAGAGACCAGAGAGAGACCAGAGAGAGACCAGAGAGAGACCAGAGAGAGACCAGAGAGAGACCAGAGAGAGACCAGAGAGAGACCAGAGAGAGACCAGAGAGAGACCAGAGAGAGACCAGAGAGAGACCAGAGAGAGACCAGAGAGAGACCAGAGAGAGACCAGAGAGAGACCAGAGAGAGACCAGAGAGAGAGACCAGAGAGAGACCAGAGAAGAGACCAGAGAGAGAGACCAGAGAGAGACCAGAGAGAGACCAGAGAGAGAGACCAGAGAGAGACCAGAGAGAGACCAGAGAGAGACCAAGAGAGACCAGAGAGAGACCAGAGAGAGACCAGAGAGAGACCAGAGAGAGACCAGAGAGAGACCAGAGAGAGACCAGAGAGAGACCATAGAGAGACCAGAGAGAGACCAGAGAGAGACCAGAGAGAGACCAGAGAGAGACCAGAGAGAGACCAGAGAGAGACCAGAGAGAGACCAGAGAGAGACCAGAGAGAGACCAGAGAGAGACCAGAGAGAGACCAGAGAGAGACCAGAGAGAGACCAGAGAGAGACCAGAGAGAGACCAGAGAGAGACCAGAGAGAGACCAGAGAGAGACCAGAGAGAGAGAGACCAGAGAGAGACCAGAGAGAGACCAGAGAGAGACCAGAGAGAGACCAGAGAGAGACCAGAGAGAGACCAGAGAGAGACCAGAGAGAGACCAGAGAGAGACCAGAGAGAGACCAAGAGAGAGACCAGAGAGAGACCAGAGAGAGACCAGAGAGAGAGACCAGAGAGAGAGACCAGAGAGAGACCAGAGAGAGACCAGAGAGAGACCAGAGAGAGACCAGAGAGAGACCAGAGAGAGACCAGAGAGAGACCAGAGAGAGACCAGAGAGAGACCAGAGAGAGACCAGAGAGAGACCAGAGAGAGACCAGAGAGAGACCAGAGAGAGACCAGAGAGAGACCAGAGAGAGACCAGAGAGAGACCAGAGAGAGACCAGAGAGAGACCAGAGAGAGACCAGAGAGAGACCAGAGAGAGACCAGAGAGAGACCAGAGAGAGACCAGAGAGAGACCAGAGAGAGACCAGAGAGAGACCAAGAGAGACCAGAGAGAGACCAGAGAGAGACCAGAGAGAGACCAGAGAGAGACCAGAGAGAGACCAGAGAGAGACCAGAGAGAGAGCCCATAAAGAGATCATAGAGACACCATAGAGAGACCAGAGAGAGACCATAGAGAGACAATAGAGAGACCATAGAGAGACCATAAAGAGATCATAGAGACACCATAGAGAGATCATAGAGACACCATAGAGAGACCAGAGAGAGACCATAGAGAGACAATAGAGAGACCATATAGAGAACATAGAGAGAGAGCATATAGAGACATTAGAAAGATCATAGAGAGACCATAGAAAGACCATAAGTAATCCTTATAATGGATTTGACAAAGCAAAATGATCTTGTTTTAAAAAGATACAAGACATTTTTCCCTTAGAAGGAGAAAATTACGCAACAATTCTTGAAATCAGACTAAATGGCTTCGTCTCATTTGCTAATCCTGTTTGAACACTGTCAGAATGAACTCAGATTAAAATAAAAACCACTAGTTTCAAACAACTATGACCTCATATTGTATCAGTTTTTGCAGCGTTGCCGTCTCTATGAACTGTGCTATACAAAAAACCTTGCCCGCGATGGTACCTGAGCTCTGCGGCCGCCGCCCGTGGCTCCAGCGCGGCCTCTCTGCGGGTGGGGGCCCCTGGGAGCCGCTCCAGGGGGACAGCGGTGAGGGCGAGGCGTTCACGACGGAGCGAAGGCCGAACACAGAGGAGGAGGTTTCATCGTCGTACAGCTGCTTGGACGCCGGCTGCAACACAACAGCAACACAACTCCACTCAATTCAACGCAATTTAGTCTTGTATCGCCCTGAATCACAGTAATTATCTTTGGACTTTACAAAGCTGTCGATTTCACCGACACAGATCAGAGAATCAGTTCAAACACAAGGAAGGCAATGATTTTAAAAAACAACAGTGTGCCCCGGGGCAGCTGTGGCTATGGTGGTAGTTTATCACCACCGTGTTTGGAGTGAATGAACAATGACATGTGAAGTGTCCAGAAAAAACGCTGTATAAAAGCAATGCACGGCAAAAAGTGATGAAAAATAAGTAAACATTTGCAAAAATTTGGCAAAATGCACCTTAAATTGAGCACATTCTGACTGTCTTGTTTTAACACATTATATTTGTCTCTCTCTGGTCTCTGGTCTCTTTCTGGTCTCTTTCTGGTCTCTTTCTGGTCTCTCTCTAGTCTCTCTCTGGTCTCTCTCTGGTCTCTCTCTGGACTCTCTCTGGCCTCTCTCTGGTCTCTCTCTGGCCTCTCTCTGGTCTCTCTCTCTGGTCTCTCTCTCTGGTCTCTCTCTCTGGTCTCTCTCTGGTCTCTCTCTGGACTCTCTCTGGACTCTCTCTGGTCTCTCTCTGGTCTCTCTCTGGTCTCTCTCTGGTCTCTCTCTGGACTCTCTCTGGTCTCTCTCTGGCCTCTCTCTGGCCTCTTTCTGGTCTCTCTCTGGTCTCTCTCTGGCCTCTCTCTAGTCTCTCTCTGGCCTCTCTCTGGTCTCTCTCTCTGGTCTCTCTCTGGACTCTCTCTGGTCTCTCTCTGGTCTCTCTCTGGTCTCTCTCTGGTCTCTCTCTGGTCTCTCTCTGGACTCTCTCTGGTCTCTCTCTGGTCTCTCTCTGGTCTCTCTCTGGTCTCTCTCTGGTCTCTCTCTGGTCTCTCTCTGGTCTCTCTCTGGTCTCTCTCTGGCCTCTCTCTGGCCTCTCTCTCGCCTCTCTCTGGTCTCTCTCTGGTCTCTCTCTGGTCTCTCTCTGGACTCTCTCTGGTCTCTCTCTGGCCTCTCTCTGGCCTCTCTCTGGCCTCTCTCTAGTCTCTCTCTGGCCTCTCTCTGGTCTCTCTCTCTGGTCTATCTCTCTGGTCTCTCTCTGGTCTCTCTCTGGCCTCTCTCTGGCCTCTCTCTCGCTTCTCTCTGGTCTCTCTCTGGTCTCTCTCTGGTCTCTCTCTGGTCTCTCTCTGGTCTCTCTCTGGACTCTCTCTGGCCTCTCTCTGGTCTCTCTCTGGTCTCTCTCTGGCCTCTCTTTGGTCTCTCTCTCTGGCCTCTCTTTGGTCTGTCTCTCTGGTCTCTTTATCTGGTCTCTCTCTGGTCTCTCTCTGGACTCTCTCTGGACTCTCTCTGGTCTCTCTCTCTGGTCTCTCTCTGGTCTCTCTCTGGCCTCTCTCTGGCCTCTCTCTGGCCTCTCTCTGGCCTCTCTCTGGCCTCTCTCTGGCCTCTCTCTAGTCTCTCTCTGGCCTCTCTCTGGTCTCTCTCTCTGGTCTATCTCTCTGGTCTCTCTCTGGTCTCTCTCTGGCCTCTCTCTGGCCTCTCTCTGGTCGCTCTCTCTCTGGTCTCTCTCTGGTCTCTCTCTGGTCTCTCTCTGGTCTCTCTCTGGTCTCTCTCTGGCCTCTCTTTGGTCTCTCTCTCTGGTCTCTTTATCTGGTCTCTCTCTGGTCTCTCTCTGGACTCTCTCTGGACTCTCTCTGGTCTCTCTCTCTGGTCTCTCTCTGGTCTCTCTCTGGCCTCTCTCTGGCCTCTCTCTGGCCTCTCTCTGGCCTCTCTCTGGCCTCTCTCTGGCCTCTCTCTAGTCTCTCTCTGGCCTCTCTCTGGTCTCTCTCTGGCCTCTCTCTGGCCTCTCTCTGGCCTCTCTCTAGTCTCTCTCTGGTCTCTCTCTGGTCTATCTCTCTGGTCTCTCTCTGGTCTCTCTCTGGTCTCTCTCTGGTCTCTCTCTGGTCTCTCTCTGGCCTCTCTCTGGCCTCTCTCTGGCCTCTCTCTGGCCTCTCTCTGGCCTCTCTCTAGTCTCTCTCTGACCTCTCTCTGGCCTCTCTCTGGTCTCTCTCTGGCCTCTCTCTGGTCTCTCTCTGGCCTCTCTCTGGCCTCTCTCTCGCCTCTCTCTGGTCTCTCTCTGGTCTCTCTCTGGTCTCACTCTGGTCTGGTCTCACTAGGAGCTGGTGTCTCCCTCCTCTGACTACAGCCTCATGTTTTCATTCTCACAAACTCACGTCACTTTAAACTAATATAAAACGATATTATCTCTGTCAATCAAACGATGAGCTCAGCAAATTAGAGAAGACACGAGAAGCAGATCCAGGAGGTGAGGACTTCAGAATGTGAGGTCAGTGAAGACAAATCTACAAATCTAGTGTCGGGAACAATCTACGAAAGACAGAACACGCCATGAGCTCAGCAACAGCACACGAGGGACTAATACTCTGCAGACTGAGAACGTAACGAGCCGAGGAGCAGTGTTTGGGTGAGTGAAAGAATTTAGGGTTGACAGTGTCTATGTTCAGCCACGTGGAGGAGAAACTTGCCATAGTCCATAATAAAGTGATTCCCTTTGGCCTCTCTCTCTCTGGTCTCTCTCTGGTCTCTCTCTGGTCTCTCTCTGGTCTCTCTCTGGTCTCTCCCCGGCCTCTCTCTGGTCTCTCTTTGGTCTCTCTCTATTCTCACTCTCTGATCTCTCTCTGGTCTCTCTCTGGTCTCTCCCCGGCCTCTCTCTGATCTCTCTCTGGTCTCTCTCTGGTCTCTCTCTGGTCTCTCTCTGATCTCTCTCTGGTCTCTCTCTGGTCTCTCTCTGGTCTCTCTCTGGACTATCTAGGAATTCTCTCTGGCCTCTCTCTGGCCTCTCTCTAGTCTCTCTCTGGTCTCTTTCTGGTCTCTATCTGGCCTCTCTCTGGTCTCCCTCTGTTCTCTCTGGCCTCTCTCTGGTCTCTCTCTGGTCTCTCTCTGGCCTCTCTCTGGTCTCTCTCTGGTCTCTCTCTGGCCTCTCTCTGGTCTCTCTCTGGTCTCTTTCTGGCCTCTCTCTGGCCTCTCTCTGGTCCCTCTCTGGTCTCTCTCTTTGGTCTCTTTCTGGTCTCTCTCTGGTCTCTCTCTGGTCTCTCTCTGGTCTCTCTCTGGCCTCTCTCTGGTCTCTCTTCGGTCTCTTTCTGGTCTCTATTTGGCCTCTCTCTGGTCTCTCTCTTTGGTCTCTTTCTGGTCTCTCTTTGGTCTCTCTCTGGTCTCTCTCTGGTCTCTCTCTGGTCACTCTCTGGTCTCTCTCTGGTCACTCTCTGGTCTCTCTCTGGTCACTCTCTGGCCTCTCTCTGGTCTCCCTCTGGTCTCTCTCTGGTCTCTCTCCGGTCTCTCTTCGGTCTCTACAGGGATCCATAAAGTATGTGTCTAAAGTATGTCACGTGTCGATGTCTGCCGCTTGTGTTTCGTTGTTTGTGTATCAGTTTCTTACCAGGAAGATGAAGTCTGAGCGTTTGGATCCTGGAGACTCGGGAGGCGCTGGAGAACGGGTCAGGGACGTGTCCTCTGAAGAAGACAAGGGGAGGCGGAAGGTCTGGCCGGGTTTGGAGTCACACAACTGCTCCTCAAAGTCTGCACGAAACAAGAAACAAGAACGTGTTTACACTACGAAAAAATATGAAATATGAGGTAATATCTGCTTGGATCAAGTGTGGGTTTTTTTTTTTTTGCTTAATTTGAGTTGATACTGACTTATTTCAAGAAATGTAGCTTTATTTCTCATTCTCTGGCCAGAGAGAATGAGAGAGAGAGAGCCATCAGAGAGAGACCAGAGAGAGACCAGAGAGAGAGACCAGAGAGAGACCAGACCAGGCGGCACGGTGGCTGAGTGGATAGCACTCTCGCCTCTCAGCAAGAAGGTCCTGGGTTCGAATCCCGGCCGGACCAGGGCCTTTCTGAGTGGAGTTTGCATGTTCTCCCCGCGTCTGCGTAGGTTTCCTCCGGGTACTCCGGTTTCCCCTACCACTAAAAATATGTACAATAGGTCTGGCATGTGCCTCCTGTTCGGCGACCCCGCTCCCATCTCTGTGTGGAGTGAGAGACTAATGCCCAAAAAATAACAATTGTAAACCGCTTTGTGACTCTGGTCTGTGAAAGGCGGTATATAAATAAAGCTTACTTACTTACTACTTACTTACTTACTTACAGAGAGAGACCAGGGAGAGACTACAGAGTGAGACCAGCGAGTGAGTCCGGAGAGAGACCAGAGTGAAACCCGAGGCAATAGAGAGAGATTTACTTTTGAAAGCGCTGGAAACAGCAGAAAGTGTCTCTGAGACAGTTGTTGTTTTGAGTTTTACAATTGTTATTTTCATCGATGTTGCTGCAGTACAGTGCCCATGGTTTTACACTGGTCCAGGCCAGAGCAGGATTCATGGTCCGAACCAAGTAGATCAGGTGAAAATCCACTGGAAGAATGCTAACTTTAAAAAAAATGCTAATGAAGCATTTAGCATTTTACTTTAGACCAGAGCAGAGAAAATGGTCCGAACCAAGCGGCTTCATCTCTGCTGCTGTGACCTGTCCTGCTCCACCCAGAGGCTACTCCACCTCTGCTGCTGTGACCCGTCCTGCTCCACCCAGAGGCTACTCCACCTCTGCTGCTGTGACCCGTCCTGCTCCACCCAGAGGCTACTCCACCTCTGCTGCTGTGACCCGTCCTGCTCCACCCAGAGGCTACTCCACCTCTGCTGCTGTGACCCGTCCTGCTCCACCCAGAGGCTACTCCACCTCTGCTGCTGTGACCCGTCCTGCTCCACCCAGAGGCTACTCCACCTCTGCTGCTGTGACCCGTCCTGCTCCACCCAGAGGCTACTCCACCTCTGCTGCTGTGACCCGTTCTGCTCCACCCAGAGGCTACTCCACCTCTGCTGCTGTGACCCGTCCTGCTCCACCCAGAGGCTACTCCACCTCTGCTGCTGTGACCCGTCCTGCTCCACCCAGAGGCTACTCCACCTCTGCTGCTGTGACCCGTCCTGCTCCACCCAGAGGCTACTCCACCTCTGCTGCTGTGACCCGTCCTGCTCCACCCAGAGGCTACTCCACCTCTGCTGCTGTGACCCGTCCTGCTCCACCCAGAGGCTACTCCACCTCTGCTGCTGTGACCCGTCCTGCTCCACCCGGAGGCTACTCCACCTCTGCTGCTGTGACCCGTCCTGCTCCACCCAGAGGCTACTCCACCTCTGCTGCTGTGACCCGTCCTGCTCCACCCAGAGGCTACTCCACCTCTGCTGCTGTGACCCGTCCTGCTCCACCCAGAGGCTACTCCACCTCTGCTGCTGTGACCTGAAGGGCTGTTGCAGATTATTACTATTGTTGCTTTTTGGAATTATCTTCTTTTTTTTTCATTTATTTTTATTGTTTTTTTGCTGATACTGGACACCTGCATTTCTCGAGGATCAATAAAGTATTTTTTTATCTTTCTATTTCAGTGGTTTTGTAAAGTCCTCTGAGAAAACTACTGTTGTGATTTAGGGCGATACCAAAATAAAGTGAATTGAATGATGATGATGTAACAGTCGTTGGGGAGATCGGGTCAGTTCATGATGAAGTCATAATGAGGTCATAATGAGGTCATAGTGAGGTCATAATGAGGTCATAATGAGGTCATGATGAGGTCATGATGAGTGGTGTTTGTATAGAGTGGAGCGCTGAGGCCTGTAATGAGCGACGACTGTGATAATCTACCTAATCTGAATCTGAAAAAGTTTGTGAAGCGTTTGGAATTTCTCACATTTCTGCATAAAATCAACATCAGACGTGACTTGGTCTTTTCCCAAATCACAGAGATGAAAAAACAGCGTCTGCTTAAACTAAACCCAAACTCGGTGGCTGAGTGGTTAGCAGTTGGAACAGGGTCTTTCTGACTGGAGTTTGCATGTTCTCCCCGTGTCTGCGTCGGTTTCGTCTATGACTAAAACATCTCTGTGGAGAGAGAGACAGATGCTCACAACAAGTGTAAAGCGCTTTGTGACTCTGGTCGGTGAAAAGCGCTAAATAAATAATTTACTTACTTAGAGGAGGGAGGAATAAGTGACTGAACCTTCTGCATGAGGAGATTTTGAGATAAATGAACGGCATTTTTTCCAAACCGTGTGAGTCCAGTCTCTGAGTCCTGGACACAGCAACACACTGTTTCCTTTTGCTCTTTCTCATTACTATTATTATTATTATCAGGTATTCAAGACAAACGCTAAATTACTTACTACTAATATAAACTAGTGAAAAACCTGTAGGATTGCATTTGAATGGGAGCCGTCAAAATGACTGCTCGAGGAGTTCTCGTAGTTTCAGAATTCGTCCGAGTGTTAATTTGAAAATGAATTAATAAGTCTGTCTGGATGGTTGGCCTGTTTGTTGTGACTTGAGGCGATCTGTCGGAGAGATGAAGCTGAAAAGAGGATAGAGGCGGAAACTATGATCTAAAACACAGGAAAATAAACTTCAAGAAGAAACACAAATGCTTCCTGAACATTAGGGATTTATTTTTTAAGGAGTGCCTCGGATTTTTCCTCATTTCTTTTAAGCTTCCGACACTTCCCCAGGCTGCTGGATCAGGTGTATTCAGATCCTAAAGCTCAGTGAAAATGTGACTTTTTTGTTCCAAATGTGACTTGTGCTTTACAATTTTTATTTTCATTGCTTTTTTCTACCTGAGATGTTGCTGCAGTACAGTGTTCATGGTTTTACACTGGTCCAGACCAGAGCAGAGAGGATTCATGGTTTTACACTGGTCCAGACCAGAGCAGAGAGGATTCATGGTCCGAACCAACTGTTTGAAAAATGCTTATGAAGCATTTAGCATCTTACTTTGGCCCAGAGCAGAGAAAATAGTTCGAACCAAGTGGCTTCACCTCTGCTGCTGTGACCCGTCCTGCTCCACCCAGAGGCTACTCCACCTCTGCTGCAGTGACCCGTCCTGCTCCACCCAGAGGCTACTCCATCGCTGCTGCAGTGACCTGTCCTGCTCCACCCAGACGCTACTCCACCTCTGCTGCTGTGACCTGTCCTGCTCCACCCAGAGGCAACTCCACCTCTGCTACTGTGACATGAAGCAGTTCCTGATTATTACTATTGTTAGCTTTTTAGAATGATACATTTTATTTTTGATTTTTGCTGCTAATGGACACCTGAATTTCTCCTACTGGGATCAATAAAGTATCTATCTATCTAAATGCAGTTGCTTCTTTATTATGCGAAAGTTGGAGATTGTATTTTATTTTATTATAGAGTTATAGTTCATTTATCTTGTGCTGTGTGCTCCTCATTCCTACAATTCTGTACCTGGTGATGCAACACTGACATTTCCCCGCTGTGAGACAAAAAATAATCTTATTCTTAATCATAGATTCGCGAGCTCTAGTCGAGTGGGTCAAATGTTTTCAAGCTGAAATGAGATGTAGGCAGAACACAAGTCACACCATAATCATCATCATGTGTTTGATAAAGGCTCCGGACTGTGGGAACTCGGCTTACAGAGAGGGGAGGGGGGAGGGGGGAGAGGGGGAGAAAGAGGAGAGGGGGGGGAGGACGACTGGGACACGGCCAAATCCTCTACAGACAAAAACAACAGTGTGATTAGCAAAACCAACACTGTGTCCGTTCTGTCCCTCAGCGTAACGAGTTTGAAAGCACAGCATTAACAAAGAAGGGGGAGGGGGGTTTATGGGGGGGGGGTAGGGGGCGTGTGACATCGGTCTGGATGGAGCTAAACACATCTGCAGGTCTGTGATGATGAGGAGAACCACTCACTACAATCACAGTATCACTGGACCAAAACAAAGCAGCTTCCAGACTTCAAAACTCAAAACTTTTCTCACATTTCCCTCTTTAAGCCGAGTCTGGACACATGTGCGTTTGTCTAACTTCTTCTTCTATCCACTCATAAAACATTTTCTTTTCATACAAAGTGCATTTCAAAAAGCGCGTATCCGTCAGTTAACGCCGCTTTCTTCCCGTTTGCCTGCGAAAGAGACGACCCAGTTTTTTCCGCAAATCCTCTGCAGAAGCGTTTTTGAAGCAGAGAAAGCAGAAAAAGCAGAGACCCGAGCTCGGACTGCAGCCTACCTGAGATCCCGGCTGCATCTCCACACGTGCGAGCTAAAAACGTCCCACTGAGAGAGAGGAGGGAGGAGGGGTTGGGGGTACGAAGCTGCAGGGTCCTGGTCTCCCATTCAAACAACAGCAGCCTGGTCCCTGGTCCCTGGTCTCTGGTTTGTGGTCTGTGGGTCTGGGGCTGAGAACAACAGGGTCTGGGTGGGCTCTGAGGATGGGATGGGGGGGGGGCTGGTCTGTGATTGGTGCACGGGTGTAAAGGTATGTCCCCCCCCCCCCTCCCCTCTCCCTCTCTCTCTCCCCTCTGCCCTCGTGCCTCGGAGCCAGACACGCCACAGAAGCACTCATGTGTCACAAACGGCACAGGCGCAAGAAAAGAAAGTAGTTCAGCTGAGACTATTGTGTTTGGCCTGGTTTAGTCCTGGTCTAGTCTGTGTTTGGGCCTGGTTAAGACTGGTTTGGACCTGGTTGAGTCCTGGTTGAGTCCTGGTTTAGTCCTGGTTTAGTCCTGGTTTAGTCCTGGTTTAGTCCTTGTTTTGTCCTGGTTTGGACCTGGTTGAGACCTGGGATTAGTCCTGGTTTAGACCTGTTTAGTCCTAGTTCAGACTGGTTGTAGTTTGTGTTACAAAAATATTTCAAAATAAAACTTTTCCAGATATTTCACCACAAACGTGAAAATGAATCAAAAGAACTAAAACAAAACAAAATAAACTTTAGTCTAGTTTTGATCAAAGAAACCGACGACTGCGAAGAGAAGACGTTTGTTTTTTAAATAAAGTTCCCCCGGAATCCTCCTGGAAACAGCGGTCTGTGGCGTTTAAAAAGACCAAGATCTCACATTGTTTTCTTTGTGTTTGGAAACGTTGCACTTTAGGCTCAGGGTGCAATATAATACTGAGGTGCAATAAAATACTGAGGTGCAATAAAATACTGAAGGGCAATAAAATACTGAGGTGCAATAAAATACTGAGGTGCAATAAAATACTGAGGTGCAATAAAATACTGAGGTGCAATAAAATACTGAAGGGCAATAAAATACTGAGGTGCAATAAAATACTGAAGTGCAATATAATACTGAGGTGCAATAAAATACTGAGGTGCAATAAAATACTGAGGGGCAATAAAATACTGAGAGGCAATAAAATACTGAGGTGCTATAAAATACTGAAGTGCAATAAAATACTGAAGTGCAATAAAATACTGAGGTGCAATAAAATACTGAGGTGCAATAAAATACTGAGGGGCAATAAAATACTGAGAGGCAATAAAATACTGAGGTGCAATAAAATACTGAAGTGCTATAAAATACTGAAGTGCAATAAAATACTGAAGTGCAATAAAATACTGAAGTGCAATACAATACTGAAGTGCAATAAAATACTGAGGTGCAAAAAAATACTGAGGTGCAATAAAATACTGAAGGGCAATAAAATACTGAGGGGCAATAAAATACTGAAGTGCAATAAAATACTGGTGCAATAAAATACTGAGGTGCAATAAAATACTGAAGTGCAATAAAATACTGAAGTGCAATAAAATACTGAGGGGCAATAAAATACTGAGGTGCAAAAAAATACTGAGGGGCAATAAAATACTGAGGTGCAATAAAATACTGAGGTACAATAAAATACTGAAGTGCAATAAAATACTAAGGTGCAATAAAAATATGAGGGGCAATAAAATACTGAGGTGCAATAAAATAATGAGGGGCAATAAAATACCGAGGGGCAATAAAATACTGAGGTGCAATAAAATACTGAGGTGCCATAAAATACTGAAGTGCAATAAAATACTGAGGTGCAATAAAATAATGAGGGGGAATAATATACTGAGGTGCAATAAAATACTGAGGTGCAATAAAATATTGAAGTGCAATAAAATACTGAGGTGCAATAAAATAATGAGGTGCAATAAAATACTGAAGTGCTATAAAATAATGAAGTGCAATAAAATACTGAAGTGCAATAAAATACTGAAGTGCAATAAAATACTGAAGTGCAATAAAATACTGAGGGGCAATAAAATACTGAGGTGCAAAAAAATACTGAGGTGCAATAAAATACTGAAGGGCAATAAAATACTGAGGGGCAATACAATACTGAAGTGCAATAAAATACTGGTGCAATAAAATACTGAGGTGCAATAAAATACTGAAGTGCAATAAAATACTGAGGGGCAATAAAATACTGAGGTGCAAAAAAATACTGAGGGGCAATAAAATACTGAGGTGCAATAAAATACTGAGGGGCAATAAAATAATGAGGGGCAATAAAATACTGAGGTGCAATAAAATAATGAGGGGCAATAAAATACTGAGGGGCAATAAAATACTGAGGTGCAATAAAATAATGAGGGGCAATAAAATACTGAGGGGCAATAAAATACTGAGGTGCAATAAAATACTGAGGTGCAATACAATACTGAAGTGCAATAAAATACTGAGGTGCAATAAAATAATGAGGGGCAATAAAATACTGAAGTGCAATAAAATACTGAGGTGCAATAAAATACTGAAGTGCAATAAAATACTGAGGTGCAATAAAATACTGAAGGGCAATAAAATACTGAGGTGCAATAAAATATTGAAGCGCAATAAAATACTGAGGGGCAATAAAATACTGGTGCAATAAAATACTGAAGTGCAATAAAATACTGAGGTGCAATAAAATACTGAGGGGCAATAAAATACTGAAGTGCAATAAAATACTAAAATACTGAAGTGCAATAAAATACTGAGGAGCAATAAAATACTGAGGTGCAAAAAATAATGAGGTGCAATAAAATACTGGTGCAATAAAATACTGAGGTGCAATAAAATACTGAAGTGCAATAAAATAATGAGGGGCAATAAAATACTGAGGTGCAAAAAAATTCAGAGGGGCAATAAAATACTAAGGTGCAATAAAATACTGAGGTGCAGTAAAATACTGAGGTGCAATAAAATACTGAGGGGCAATAAAATACTGCTGCAATAAAATACTGAGGTGTAATAAAATACTGAGGGGCAATAAAATACTGAGGTGCAAAAAAATACTGAGGGGCAATAAAATACTGCGGTGCAATAAAATACTGAGGTGCAATAAAATACTGAGGTGCAAAAATATACTGAGGGGCAATAAAATACTGAGGGGCAATAAAATACTGAAACGCAATAAAATACTGAAGCGCAATAAAATACTGAAGTGCAATAAAATACTGAAGTGCAATAAAATACTGAGGTGCCAAAAAATATTGAAGCGCAATAAAATACTGAAGTGCAATAAAATACTGAGGGGTATGAAAATACTGAGGTGCAATAAAATACTGAAGGGCAATAAAATAATGAGGTGCAATAAAATACTGAGGGGCAATAAAATACTGAGGTGCAATAAAACACTGAGGTGCAATAAAATACAGAGGGGCAATAACGATTGCGGGGAGCTCTCTGTTTCTCTATGGTCCTTGAGATCTCTATGGTGCTCTTCCAACAGCATATTCTAGACACAATGTGGAAACTATAATTATAAATAAATATATTATGAAACAATTAAAACAAATGAAAGACAAATAACAAAATCTCAAATTAAATAGAATTATTCAAAAAGAAAAAATTCAAATTTCAAAATAATGATTAATTCATGATAGACTTAATCAATTAATGAATATATTTATATGAATAATAAATATGAAGAAAATAGTGCAAAATAAATAAAAACTATGAATAAATTATTAAAAAATAATTTTAAACGTAAATTAATAATATTACTAATACACAGCATTTCAATGTAATTAACATAAAAAAATTGATGCAAAAAATAATAAAATGTGAACTCCAAAAATAAAATTAAAATACTTGCTGACAAATACTTTTTTAATATAATTTAAATTGATAAAATATTAAACCATTACCAAAAAAGGAAATATAGAATTTTACACAAAATAATAAATTTTTACTCTCCATGATTTTCATCTATTTTTATTCACACTTGATCCGCGTCACAACAGCTTCATAAGAAACGTCCAAGCTCAAACAACCATAAACAAACATTACATTTAATACAAAATAAATTTAAAATATGTAAAATTAAAATATATTTAATTTGATTGTATTTTCTTTAATAATGAATAATAATAATACAATAATAAAATGATACGCCTTAAAATTCACTTCTCGACTCAATTTCCAGCAGTTTTTCACACTTGAAAGCGTCTCGGCGTCACAGTCTAATTACAGCTCGGTTCCTCCAGATCCACGTCACGTCTAAATACAGCTGCGGAACACGGCGTCTACCTTTCACTTTCACATTATGTTTATCTGCCATTTGCAGTAAAACCACATTGGAATACATGCGCAAAAACTGCCCATCCAGACCCTGTTGTTCTCTGCCCCAGAACCACAGACAGAAAACTAGAGACCAGAGACCAGAAAAGAGACTATAGAGACCAGACCAGAGACACAAGACCAGAAACCACAAACCATACCCCTCCATTCTCCCCTCTCTCAATGGGACGTTTTCCACCATTCAATTCAATGTATGTTTGTATAGCTCTTAATCACAACAGCAGTTTTCTCCGAGGACTGTACAAAACCGTCGATTCGCCAACACAAATCAGAAAATCAAACACAGAAACTGATATTAAATAACACATAGAGCCTGTGGTCCATAAGGGGCAAATGACCGATGTCTATAAATGTCGTCAAATGTTGAGTGTCTTGGATCATCAACACAACACTGTCCTTAGACCCTTCCGCATCGGTGTGAACAACTAAAAAATATCCAGAAAAAGAGAAACCTCCTCATGCGTCTCTCCTTGCCTCATGCATGAGAATAACATGTCTCCTTCTGATCCGCCTCACACAGTCCTTTACCTCTGTCCTTTCTCTCAGACGTCCCCCTCTGTCCCCTATACATCCCTGGGCATGTCCTTCAGCTGGGGGACATGTCCTCTGGCTGGGGGGGACACGTCCTCCAGCTGGGGGGGGGCAGGTCTTTTGGCTTAGGGCACTCACCGGATGGACCTGGTCTTCCGTCTCCATGTTTGTGTCCCTCACATTGTGCCGTCCGCATGCTAACGCGCACTCAGACTCACACCCAGATCATGCAGTCTGTAAACACTCTCTCTCTCCCTATGTGCTGCTGTGCTCGCTCGCCCCTCGCTCGCCCCCCTCCCTCTCTCGCTCTATCTCTCTCCGTCTTTTCATCCGCACCGCCCACAGCAACCACAACATCTCTGCTGCTAAAAACAGAGGAAAACCAGGTCTAAGGCAGGTCTGAAGCAGGATTTGGTCGAAACTAAGTCTGAACCAGGTCTAAAGCAGGTCTGAAGCAGGTCTGAAGCAGGTCTGAAGCAGGTCTGAAGCAGGTCTGAACCAGGATTCAACCAGGTCTGAACCAGGTCTAAAGCAGGTCTGAAGCAGGTCTGAACCAGGTCTGAAGCAGGTCTGAAGCAGGTCTGAAGCAGGTCTGGAGCAGGTCTGAAGCAGGTCTGAAGCAGGTCTGAAGCAGGTCTGGGCTAGGTCAGAACCAGGTCTTAAGCAGGAATAAATATGTCTATAATAGGTCCAAAGCAGGACTGTAGCATGGATAAAACAGGTCTAAGCAAAACAAAGCAGGACTGAACCAAGGCTTCTACACTTTATTTACTCATTCTGTGTGAATATTTTTGCATTTTTCTGTTACTTTGTTGTGTCCTACACGATGTGCAAGAGTTCAAGGTGTATAAGAAATGTGTGTTTTACAATCGATATTTTTCTTGCTTTTTTCTACCTGTAAATATTACTGCAGTACAGTGTTCCGGGTTTTACACTGATCCAGACCAGAGCAGAGAGGACAGTCCAAATCAAACAGATCAAATGGAAAAGCAGGACTGCTATTTTTATTTTGAAAAATGCTAATAAAGCATTCAGAAGTTCACTCTGAACCAGAGCAGAGAAAATGGTCCGAACCAGGCACACTCTGCAAACATCAACCAGAGGAAGCAGCTCATCACCTGCTGCTGCACCACCTGCTGCTTTACCACCTGCTGCTGCACCACCTGCTGCTGGAGCCTGGAGTGCTGCTGCCCTTTATTACTGTTGTTAGTAACTTCTAGAATGTTGTTTGGATGGTTGTGTTTTTCTGCTGGACGCTCAAACTGGGACAGAGTGAGGAAGTGTCCTGCCCAAGGACACAACTACAGCCTCACAGCAGCTCACTTACTATGGTAGAGTCTGTGGAAGGAGCCAAGCCTGGTCTGTCACCACCTGGCCTGGCATTTGCATGTTCTCCTTGTGTTGCATATCATTATCATGTCATTTGCATGTTCTCCTCGTGCTCTTACCCTGGAGGATCCTCTGCAGGTTGCTCTGCGCCTCCTGGTGGAGCTCCTCCACACACTCCGGTCTGCTCCACGACCCGAAGACGTTCACGCTCTGTTGCCATGGAGACCGGAAGTGCGCGCCACGGCCGCCGTTGCCGTGGACACCGCCTCCTCCGTTGCCTTGGAGAGAGTCGGCCGAGTGATGGAGGGGGGCGGAGTCCAGGGGGTGAGTGGCTGACGGGGGGAGAGAAAGAGAGAAAGAGAGGAGTGGGTTTATAGACCAAACAGAACGGTTCCCCCCACCCTTCTGTCCCATCGCTCTGCTTTCAAACATGTTACACTGTGAAGAGAGAGAGGAAAGAGAAGAGAGGAGAAAGAGAGAGGAAAGGAGAGAGAAGAGGAGCAAGAAGAAGAGAGAGAGTGGAGAAAAGAGAGTAGAGCAGAGAGGAGGAGAGAGAAGGAGGAGAGACCAGGGATGGGGAGAGAGAAGGAGGAAAGAAAAGAGGAGAGAAAGAGAGAGGAGAGAGAGAGACAGAGGTGAGAGAGGAGAGAAGAGAGGGGAGAAGAGGAGAGAGGGTATAAACACCCACCAGAGCTGCCCCCACCCCTTCTGTCCCAGTGGTCTGCTTTCAAACTCTGAGCTCCAGGAGAGTGTTGATGTTTTCTTACTTCCACCATCTTGAGTTTCCTCGACGGAGCCTCTGTGTGTTTCTCTGTATCTGCTCTATCTCTGTGACCTTTCCTCAAAGACAGAAATACTCGGGATGGAATAGTGCATCTGCTCAAAGATAGTTGGGGTTTTACAGAGGGAGAGGTCAGCTTCTGTCTCTCGCAGACGGAGAGAGAGAGGTTTAATAATGTCATCTGCAGATCAAGCTCCATCAGCACTCAGTAAAACCACCATGAGCTGCAGACGACGGACTCTTGCTCCATTAACCACGATCGCAAAGACGGCAATTATTCGGAATACATTTTTACGACAAAAGATCCTGTTGCATGATGTGGCAGAAGGGTATAATGCAGGGGTCTACAACCTGTAGCTCAGGAGCCACCAGTAGCTCGCCCATTATACACTTATTTCAGATTGTATTATCCATCCATCCATCCATCCATTTTCTACCCTTTAATCCATTTCTGGGTCAGGGGGGTGGCAGTCAGAGATGCCACCCAAGTCTCATAGCACCAGCCCCTCACTGACCCTCTGCAGGTGGTGAGTCCACAGGAGGACGGCTGCTCTCTGAGTGTGAGCATAGCCTTGATCTTTCAGTGGGGACTTTGGGCAAAGTGGGGTTAAGTGTCTTGCCCAAGGACACAACGACAGCAGTCATCAGCGGGAGTCGGTGGAGAAGGTGTAGAGGTGGGAATTGAACCCACGACCTTCAGGCCTGAAGGCCAATGCTCTACCAACTGAGCTACTGTCGCCATATACAGTCTTACATATATGTTGAGATCATATATTTTAATTTCCGGTACTACAGTAGCTTCACAGGACAATATGTGGTCTTTGACAGAGGTCCCCAACTCCTGCTCAAACTCCTTTTTGTCCCTTATCAACCACTGTATTTCAAGATGGCACATTGACAGAGAGTCCTCCAGCCTCATGTACATTTATTAGTCCAATTCAACGCCTCTGACAACAATTCAAAATCATGATGGAGGTAAATCATGATGGAGATAAAGGGGCGACAGTGGCTCGGTTGGTAGAGCATTGGCCATTGGGCTGAAAGGTCGTGGGTTCGAGCCCACCTCGGGACCTACTCCAACTGATTCCACTAATGTCTGCTGTCATTGTGTCCTTGGGCAAGACACTCAACCCCACATTGCCTGTAGCTCGCACTGAAACACCAAGGCTGTGGCACCACTGATGTAGCAGCAATCTTTCTGTGGACCCACCACCTGCAGAGGATCAGAGGGACCGGTGCTTTGAGCATTGGGTGGCAGCTCTCATTGTCGTCCCCCCAACCCAGAAATTGACTAATAAAGGGGTAGAAAATGAATGAATGAATGGTCACATTTGTTATCGGTTAATTCCTTAGAAGTGTTTTTAATTCTTTCTTTTTTATTCTCTCTTTCTGACTGTTGCACTGAGCCAAAGCAATTTCCAAGTATGTGATCTCCTGTTACTTACGTGGCAATAAAAATGATTCTGATTCTGATTAACATATTTTTTCATTTGGAGCAACTGTAAAAATTCCACAGAGTACCTTTAAAGAAGTAGCTCTCTGCCTTTATCGTCCCGGGAAAGTAGCTCTCTGGGTGAAAAGGGTTGGAGACACCTGGTCTAAGGACAGCGGTGATGATCCAGGACACTCGCTATTCAACGACATTTATGGACATTTCTAGACATTGGTCTCTGCCTCTTAGGACCAATGGCTCTATGTGTTTTTATCATTGCATTTCCTGTGTTTGAACTGTATGGATCTGTGTTGGCGAATCAACTCAGCTCAAAACACAGCAACAGACAGGTTTATCTTAATTCAATTCCATTCATTTTATTATTGTTAGGCCCTAAATCACAACAAGAGTTATCTCGGAGGACCTTACCAAGCTGTAAGGTCCTCCGAGATAACTCTTGTTGTGATTTAGGAGCTGAGAATCACAAGGAGCACTGCACATGTCAACACCGATGAGAGAGATGTCATTTATTGGTATTTAGGGTATTTTGGCAGAAGTCCCGCCTCCCCGAGAACAGTGTGTTTTCCACAGGGCCATAGTGTTTTGTCTTTCACATCTTCTCATCAGACATTTTTCACACTTGTTGCTCTTCTATTTGTTGCTAACCGACTACATAAACAGACTCAATGAAGCCCAATAGGGAAGTGCTCATAGTGAAGTTTTTCTCCAACTCCCTCCCATTGACTTACATTGAAAAGTAAACTCCTATCGCTCAGTGACCGTTTGTGACACTCAACATTTTGGGGTCAGAAAAATCAGTGATTAATCTTTGATCCTCTCTACAAACCTGGTGTTTATGTTATGATTTTGTTTTTGTAAATCCAGATACAGAACAAATGCCACATTAGGGCTTTAGCAGCGAGGGGCCAGAGTGGGGACAGACTCCTGATTGGCTCTTGGTAACTCAGACGTTGCTATCCCCAATTAAATGGCCTGTTCAAGCTAGCTTTGATCGGCTTCTTCCGCATTCGGCAAACACTATGGTGATTGTTTTCGGTCAGTAGTTCTCGAAGGACTTTACAAAGCTGTCGCCAACACAGATCAGAGAATCAAACGGTTCAAAGACAGGAAATGCAAAGATGAAAAACACACAAAAACACACAAAGACATTGGTCCATAAGGAGCAGAGACCAATGTCCATAAATGTTGATAAAGTTACATTATCAGGGCTTCAGAACAGAAATCACAATCCGAATCGTAATCGCAGAGATGTCTTTGAACTCTGTGCCTGAGTGTGTGTCTGAGCTGGTGTTGAGTTTGTGTGTTTGTGTGTGCCACTGGATGTTGTGTGTTCTCAAACAGCAGCACATTGGCCAAAGTCTGCTTGGGGTAAATAACTGTTAACTCTAAAACACATGTCTCTCTGGATCAGCTTTTATGAGGAAGTAACGAGACCATGGTCCAGGGGTCTCCAACCTTTCCCTGTGAGAGCCACTCCTTTTAGACAGTCGACAGAATGTTGTGCTCCAATGGATTAAGATCTTATTGATTTGAAAACATTTTGACGTTCTTAAAACAACGGAACAACCAGCTTTAGTCCTATTTCCAGCACAGACACAACAAATGTATTATTCGTGTTCTATTGACAAATCTTGTTTTAAGACCGTCTAAATAATGTTGCCAGATTTGGACATTTTTTTGTTGTGTATATATGTTATACCCATGAAACAATCTATCACAGGATTTTCTTTTGGGGAGACGTGTGTGATGTCACATGAGAGAGGCTGAGGGAGGCGTGGGCCATCGCTCGGCTCTGATTGGCTGATGAGAGGGAGCTGGAAAACGCAGTGTAAATATGTAAATGAGGCGATGGAGACGAGAAGAGAAGGAGAGAAAGAGAGAAGGAGGTGAACGAGGATTTGAGAATGAAACGGTTTGAGACAGAGACTGGAGAAGAAGGAAGAGGGGATTACATAACTGTTGTCAGGTAGAAAACAGCAGACACAGGCCACACGCTGCACTTACACATGGGGTGCATCACTATAAAGCTCGGGTACGCAAATTTAAAGCTAAGGTACATAACATGAAAGCCGGGGTTAATGTAACTTCCACACCACAACAACACATGGATCTATTATAATAACTGGATAGGGTATTACTAGCTTGGAGCTGAATAACCCATGTGCTCGGGGGATTCTCGCGGTACTGCAGACTGGACCAGACTAAATTCACGTGGGCTACATCGAGCTGCATATCAAAACAGCTCGACCTCAGCTGACAGAGAACCTACAGCTTTCATAAAGGTCGGACTTTGTGGGGATTTTAGTGTCCCTTGTCATCCTGAACTTTTTTTCTTCTTATGGTGCTTTCAGACCTGATAATGCGTCGGGTTTCAATGCAAAGTCTATGGTGGCGCGCGTTCGACCGTCACAACGCACAGACCGCTCGGTTCGCACGAACGGACTGTTCAATAATGACGCACGGACTTGGCGGGAAAGTGAAAAGGGAGGAGCAGGAGCGAAAAATCGACGCCCACAGGAGATGGATTCTGCTCATCCTTTCCTTGGGACGTTCGTGCGACAACCAATCAGAGAGCAGTAAAGTGGTCACAGGGACATTAGCGGACTGAGCGAGCAGACTGAAAATACTCTTAAACAGCCAAAACAGGACCCACACCAGGCTTCAGCAGAACTCAAACCAGGGTTGACAATGGGGGAAAATATGTGTTGTCATGCTCCCGTGACCTTATGCAACTGCTTCGAGTGTGTTCGCCGATGCGGAAATACTGTTTAATTATATGAAAAAACGTATGCCGCACCTCCGTGAACACATACTACTGTTATATAAAGTCACCTCCGTGAACACATACTACTGTTATATAAAGTCACCTCCGTGAACACATACTACTGTTATATAAAGCCCGTGGATGGTCTCTGTTCAAAGACACGCCGCAAAGCTGCATATTGGAGAAGATCTGTACACAAGAAGCCGCTAGCATAGCTCTGTTAGCATCAGAGCCGGCCGGCTACTTTCGGTACTTCCGGCTCACGTCAGGACGTTCTGGTGTGAAGTCCTCTGCGTCTGAAAACTAGAGAATGCGCGTCTGGTGAGTGGGGCTT